AGTAATTCAATCAAGACTGCGCAGCCTGCAAAGGCAGTGCATGAGGTGAAAAATAGAACCAAACTAATTTATGCGGTGGAGATAAAGAGGTGTGGGAAATTATTTGTATACCGTGAGCTGTGTATAAGCATAACTGAGAGGTGATTTGAGGGTTGTGACATGTGCTTGACGGCATTGGCTTTGTGATATGTGTCCGTAGAGGTGTAACTTCCAATCCCTAGGCTGAAATTGTCCGTAGAGTCCGTTTCTGAAGTTGTATTGTTTGATTTCTGGCTGGATATATGAGAAAATGTACATAAAGCAAAAACTTTGAATTTTTTACAAATTTAATTACCACAGCGGTGCTGGGTACCTAGCAACGGGTACCCACAAACAATCTCTATGGTGTACCTAAGTGGATGCCACACAGGATGCCATGCAAAAATAGCAATAAATTGCTCAAATCATATCACTGCCAAAAGGGGCCTAAATAATTGTTGTGATTGGTTGAGAAACTGAGTGGAGGGGTTTTCACATCATCTCACCCTCAGGGTGCAACTGGGCGCCCAAGCCCAAGGTGGGTTCGGGGCGGGTTTGGGCAGGTTGCTGGTTTTTTTTTTTTTTTTAGCCTGACCCGGGGGTACCCACTGTGGGCGGCGGGCATGGGCACCCTATGGGGAGTGTTGGGCCAGCCCGGATTGGCCCAACATGGCTGCAAAAACTCTGATATGACCCTGTTGTCCTAACTCCACCATTGCCAATCTGACACCGTGTACTACCCTGCCTGTCAACATGAATTCTACAGCTCTGCCAATCGACTTAAATGCTATTATACGTGACCATCATCCCCCCCCCCGCGCCGCTTGAGCCCCATACTTTTTTCTGGTTGGAGCCCGTCAGGCAACCAAGACCCGGCCTGCGCCCAGCCCAAGCCTGACCACCATTGAAGGCGGGTTGGGTTTGGGCAGAACATTTTGGCCCGAGCCCGGCCCATTTGAACCCTGATCTCACCCTAACCGTACTGCCTGCCAATATCTTAAAATCACAGCTAACAGTGCCGCTTCCAAGAAAATATTTTTGAATGCCAGACAAATTGCATCAGTAGCCATTGATTTATAAGCTTCCTTATTGCAGTGAATATCAAATTGGTTTAGAAATTAGAGAGGTAGGTTTGATTACCACAGCACACATAATATCTACACTACAAGAAAAAGAATTAAAAGGGAGCTCTGCCCTATGATTTAAATATATAAACCATTATTTCAGTTTGATTTTTCAGTTGATGTTCATGCCTATCAACTTCTTCTAGCTTTTTGATTTTTTTGGAGTATCATTGTGTTGCACAATTTTCATCTCATTACATTCATACTTACATAGTATTGAAAATACAAGCTACTACAAATGCACAATATTCCAAACAAGACTGAAATATGTATGTTGTAATTTCTCTCTGCTCTCTGCTATCCCTGCTCTCTCCGCTCTCTCTCTCCCCATTCTTTTCCCATCTCTCTCTATTTCTTCTCATTTCTTCTCACTTCCTCTCACAACCTCTCCTCTTCTTCCTCTTCCTTTGACTCCCTCTTCTTCCTCTTCCTTTGACTCCCTCTTCTTCCTCTTCCTTTGACTCCCTCTTCTTCCTCTTCCTTTGACTCCCTCTTCTTCCTCTTCCTTTGACTCCCTCTTCTTCCTCTTCCTTTGACTCCCTCTTCTTCCTCTTCCTTTGACTCCCTCTTCTTCCTCTTCCTTTGACTCCCTCTTCTTCCTCTTCCTTTGACTCCCTCTTCTTCCTCTTCCTTTGACTCCCTCTTCTTCCTCTTCCTTTGACTCCCTCTTCTTCCTCTTCCTCTTCCTTTGACTCCCTCTTCTTCCTCTTCCTTTGACTCCCTCTTCTTCCTCTTCCTTTGACCAACGATGAAACTGATGCGATGCATGCATAGGTATCGCATCGTATCGGGCCTTTATCGCATCGCATCGCAAGAGCGATGCGGGGCCCTGCATCGCATCGCTTGCATCGGATTCTTCGATACAGTGTATCAGTATCGCATCGGCAAAGCGATGCGATGCGATGCACCATAATTTGGTGGCATTGGTTTGCATCGCTTTCCGATACGATGCTGATGCAATGCATCGCTTTTTTGATGCAATGCATCACTTTTTCAATGCAATACATCGCTTTTTCGATGCGATACCGATACATGGCTATTTATCGCATCGCATCGCATCGTTTCACCGTTGCTTTGACTCTGTTTCTTTTCCTCTCTTGTTCTTTATCTTCTTTCTCTACTTGCTCACTCACATCGGCGACTTCTACTCATCCTCTCAACAACAACTCATCCACCACTTTTTCTTGTTCTGCTGACTCTCTCTCTAGAAATACTCATTTGGATATTGCCAATTTGGTGAGAAAAACTCATCCAACTTTCTCTTGTAATTTTGTGACTAAAACATTAACATTTTCTATTTATATGTTTTTTATGTTAAAAAACAGTGTGTATTATCTGTCACTGTTTGATCTTATATATTTCAGCCTTTCTGTTCTGTCTAAATCAAAAGACCAATCTACTTGCGGTAAATTTCTTTCCTTCATTCTTCTTTTGATTGTCTTTCATCTTTCTTTGTCATCTTTCATGTCTAAAAAACTCCAACACTTGTTTTTCTTATTATTGTTAAAAGTTCTGGTTCTAGAGTCAATTACAATTCCTGTTTTTCATCAATGTACCAGGTGGATTAAAAAAAATCAACCAAGACTATTGACACTATCTTGTTTCTTTACTTTGGACACCTCTCTTTACCTGGGGCTTTGACCAGACAATCAGTCTGATGCCAAAAATCCTAGGGCAGAAGTAAATTATCAACAATCAATACATTCACAACAGATGAAACTTGTGGGAGGGCAACAGCCACAAAAACACAGGCTTCAATCAATAAGGTCTGAGAAGCAGATCAGGAAACAATTTCATACACAGCCTGTGCAGTATTCTAAAGTATTGCATATTATTGAAAATCTTGATTTTTTAACAAAAATAAACAAAACTTTTTTTATAACAATAACAGAAACATTTTTTTGACTCATACATTATGAAATTGATGCCAAATATTTTAACCCAATATGTTAGACCAAAATTTCCTTCAGACTTTATAAGCTTAGGGGTTTCATTTACAGTAGTTTCATTCCTGGGTGAAATGCAAGTTGCAGGTCTTGAAAGTTTGAGAGTTGATGGTTAGAGCAGGGGACCAATTTGACAATATGATTATTGGAGTTGTAATTGGATGTGATTTTTCATTGTGATTGAGCCAAGAACAGGTAGGAAAAAAATTTGGCAACCTCCAGTCACCTGAGAGGAGGACATGAAGGATGGATGCCAAAAGCTACTAAAAGCAGCAGCCATTGGTAGTTTTGTAGCAGCTCTATCAGGAGCCATACAGTGTGCACAAGCTCAAACTTAAATGAGGCCCCTAGGTTGCTGCACAATCACCATCTTTCGAATTGGCCACTTCAAAGCTGATCATGTTATCCTTCCGAGGTGACTGATAATAACCTGTCATAATCAGAAAGACTGGACTACTTGCACAGCAGCAGCAGCAACAACTAGTCCAACAAGCTGATCCAACTAGTCCCTCGGCAGGGACTGTCCACTAGTTCTGCGCCCTGGGTGCGCCTGACTTATCCGAAACTGCTGTGACAGCCTTGCCGGAGCAATTGCTGCCGGCAGTGTTGAAAGCCAAGGTTTCTTGAGGTCACCCGACTGATGAAACCGTCAGAGGTCGTTTGCTCAAACATCATCGGAATGCTCAGTATCTAAATATGTGTGCATAACACGTATTCCGCAGGCTCCATAACGGATGTTGCGATGGAGACCTGTGTGGATTCGGTAGTCGTCAAGGGGCGCTATACATTTTGATAGTTGAAACAAGCATGGCAATGACTGCTGTTAGAGGACAACGGGGGATGTGACCTTTCTTTCAAGCAACAAAAACCTCAGTGAAACTATAATCGCAGTCTGATCTTATGTTTGTGCGAAGAGACCGGAGAGTTGAAAGGACTTTATGCATTGATTGTACTCAGAGCTCTCAGAGGATCTTACGTATTTACCGGAAATCTGAAACCGCATCGAAGTCACAGTGGGCTCGTGGGGGTTTGTCTGAAGCCCTGGTTGCCATTCTTCATGACGATAGCGATATCGGGCATTTAAGGGCGCCGCCGCAAGGATTCCCGATAATTCTTGTCAGGTCAAAAACCCGTCCTTGTCAACGTCCCTTCCGGGTTGCTTGCCAACAGATAAGTATCAACGTTGAGGGTGTAGATCTTTGCTCTAATTGATTGTGCAAAGTGATCAACAATCGTTCCATTGGAAAAATTCATGGCATGTTAATTAGTCCTGTTTGCCGGGTCGCTTAAAAATTTGGCCACACCCCATCGCTTCCACAAACTCATTTATTCCGACTCCGAGGCGAGGGACACAAGCATAGGGAACAATGTTCAACTGAAAGAGTCAAGCAAAAAGGAAAAAGGTGAGGTTTGTTTACACTGTTACCCTTTTGTTATCCTATGATCAACTCCCCATCGTTCCATGAGATTTCCTCTGCATTTTTATTACATTGATAAAAACTCTTCGCCAAGCGTCAATGTGTCGTCTTTGTTGAATTCTCACAAGCTTCCTGCAAAGCGCTTTTGTATCTGCTCATCCCGACCCCGTGGCGACTGGAGTCTTCTTACTCCGCTTCAAGTGGATGCCCCATCACAAGTCCACAATTTCCTGTGGGCGTTCATCGGTGTGGGCGTTAGGGGTTTACGGGTAACGCCACCTCGTACTCCCCATAGAACTAGGTATTCCGTCTGTTCTCAAGATGTATGTATGAATATATACAGCCCATTTGGGCAAAGCTGTGTAGGTACATATCCATCCTGGCCTACAGAACAACGGGGTGCTCTTTTGATTCGGGTCCAACATGTTTGCTCGAATGCCAGTCGATCACAATCCATCGGCACAGAACTTCAGCGAACCGTAGTAAACAAGCGATCATGGAAGTTCTTCGGAAGCTTTGCGGACGGGATTCTGAACGTAGCGCCGTTTCGCCCTTCGAATGGCCGCTTTCAAGACCAAGCACTGTTTAACACCGGGCGTCTGGGGGCGGTGACCCTGAACCCAGCTCTGTCATTCATGTATCACTGGGGGTTATCCCGTGTTGGTTGTTGTCAAGGGACGGCTGTACCCTAGCATAAATGAAGCAACCCCAATCTGAGAAAAATTACATACCTCATCTCCGGTTGCAACGGTTTGCTGCTCCAAACCCCAGGTTGATCACGCCCATCATTTCCTTCTCTTTGTTTGCTTTTCGAGTGAGCGCAACACTCCCACTCTACAGACAAATCTAAACAGACCTCCGATTCTTGTAGCATCACTGTTGTAGTAGTCCATTTCTTCCTCCCAAAGCTCATTTTCTTGCGTGATACTGAAAAATTCTCTTCTAGCATGTTCAGGGACTATAAACATTGTGCCAAATTTTGATCAAGACAACGATTGAACCCACTTACCTTGCTCTCCTCTGAAACCCCCTTTCCCACCAGAGGTACTGGACTAAATTGTTTTCCTCAAGTGATCTTCACCTTTCCATCGGGAAATCAAACTAGGTTCTAATCCATCCACGCCCTTTGTCAAGACCACCACCCAGTTCCTTAAGCTCAACGGAGATGAAAGCATTCAGAAAAACTTCGGTCCCCAACAAGTCCCGAGACTATTCGCCATCTTTTTCCTCCACTTCCTCTGCTTCGTCTTCGTCTGCTCATCAATATTCCCAAAAGCAGCATGATTTTCGAGCCTCTGGAAAGTCATCCAAAGGTTATCCTTCACCCGAACCAAATAAATCAAAGCCCTCTGAAATAATCATTCGTGCCCTCAAACCATACTCTGCGCAAACGACATCGGAGCTCTCAGTGAAACCCGGCGATTTCCTGCAAGTCGTTGGTGAAGCATGGTCACCTCAAGGATCTGGTTGGTTTGAAGCCACCGAGCCCCTCACAGGAGCTCGTGGACTGGTACCCATTAATCTGTTTCAAATCTTCTCTTCGGGAGGTTATCAGCCGAGCCCACCTTCGAAATCAGTCAAGCCATTGAACTTCAAAGACAAGAATCCCGATGCACACATCCCTACGAATTCTAATCCACGAGCCCAAAAGTCAACAAGAGGTCCGCATCAGTCGCATCCTTCCCTCCCTTCGGCGCGACCAACTGGAGATTCTCCTCCCAACAAACCTCCCGCACCACGTCAGCCTTTGTACGGAGTGGTAAGTCAAAAATCTTGCAAATCTTTTCCGGCACCGTTAATTCTAAGGATACAAACAGGCCTCTGACAAATTCCTCTGCTGTAGGTTCGTTACGATTTTCATCCAGAACGCAACGACGAACTGCTGGCGAAGAAAGGAGAAGCAATTGTATTAATCGCACATAGCCATCGTGACTGGTTTGTAGCCAAGCCGATTGGGAGACTTGGAGGACGTGAGTGTTTAGACAACTCCGTCATCGAATTTTTTCGCGCCAAAACTAACCGTACTTCTTTTCTTCATTAGCTGGTTTGATCCCGGTCTCTTACGTCGAGGTCAAAGATTTGGCAACTGGGAAGGGCTTGAGAACGGATGCGGTAAAAAAGTTGATGGAGAGTGACACTCTGCCAGGTGTTGACGAATGGATAAGAGCTACGGCAGCTTACAAAGGCAACAGCATTCCACTTGGACGCTTTGAGAACCCAACAGCAACCTCGACACTTTCTCAAAATATCTCGCCAACCTTGCGACGCGAAATGACTAAATCTCATCAACAATTGAGGTCAAAACCTGCGGAAATTGACGAGGAAATTCCTCGCCCCCCACGAACAAGCCTTTCACAGTCCGTGAGGCAAGACACAAGCCTCAATTCATCTCAACTAGTTGATATTCCCGTTCCATCCTCTCAGTCAATCGAAAACAACACTTGCTGCTCTGAGCCCATCCAATCGCCACAATCGGCGCAAATGTCAGCAAGAATCCCAAGCTACGATCCCAGAGTTGACCATGAGATGAAAGATGAAGCAGTCCAGCCTGGTCAAGGCAGTTCAACTTCTGCCAGTGGCGAAGATGGTTACGCAACGGTGGAAGATCTTCGGGAGCGTTATGGACTCTTTACTCATGCCACTGTTGAATCATTTCACAAGGAAAATAACGAGTATTGGTTCCATCTCCGTTCACATTTCAACTGCCCATCGACCACGCATTCATCTGGTGAAGAGGCAACCACTCTGGTGCTCTACCGTCTGTACGAAGATTTTTTTGATTTTCACGCAGAACTTTTGGACCTTTTTCCTGAAGAGGCTGGTCGAGAGAACTATGACCGACCAAGCATATTTCCTAGGCTGCCTGAGCCCAAAGAAAGCGTCGACGATCTTATATGTTCGGAAAGAGTCAACACACTCAGCATCTATCTTCAAGAGCTTGGCAAACTTCCTTCCTACATCCGCGATAGCGAAATCTTCTACGAATTTCTAGGCCCGAGGGAAGGCGATGTCGAACTTCTAGAGGAGATGACCTCCAGTCTTGGATCGGAAGATAGGCATTTGTCTGAAGAAATAGAACACCTCAACTCATCCGATCCTAACTCCCACGGGATTCGTGAGGCAGTGGAGTCTGAAGCTGGAAATCTATCAAGTCAGCCGCTTAATTTCACATCCGGCTCACCCAAGAGAATCTCCCGACACAAGTTACGCCTGTCGAGTGCACCCCAAAAAAACTGGGTAGGGACACCTGAGCCCAATTCAGCTTCCCTTCCTCTCACGCCTTCGTCTCAGACACCCAAGCCGCAGGGAAGAACTCATTCATCCAACTTCTCCTCGTCTTCCACCGGATCATTCATGGACAGCCTGTCCACACCACTCGCCACCAGCCATTTTCCGACAATCATAAACGATGGATCCCCTCCAATGCCATTCTACCGGATTAAAGTCTACCAAGAAAATAATCCTGATGTGATTGCAATAAAAGCAAGGCACGGTATGTCGCGTGCCCAATTGCTCGAAAAAGTCTTCGAAAGAGTTCAGGCCGTAGCTTCTGGTTCATCAACACCAGATCAGCAAGTTGGCAAATTACACGTCAAAGATGAAACAAAAGATGGTAAAGCCTGGAAAGAATTGGAAAGTGATGAACAGTTGAGCCAATGGCTGGTCGAATTTCAAAGCCGTTTGGTACTACTCTACAGCCCGGCAGATTGAACTAACAAGAATACAGCAACCCTGCCCAAGTAGATGACACGATAAGCATTGATATCCACTCTCGGAATAATCACTGGAGATCGCCGAAATGGATTCCTCTTTTCTTGATTGAATTTATTGTCTGATATTTCAGCGCAAGGAAGCAGATTTCAAAGGTGTTTTCTTACTCGCAAAAACCCAACTGTTTTTTTCTCCAATTCACTATGATTACTTGGGATAGTTTTTTCTTTCACTCAAAAAAAAGCCACAAAAACACAAATAAAAAAGCACATCTCATTGCTTTGGTATGATGTATATATATATACTCTTCCAAACACAAGCCCATCTGATTTTCATGTCTAAATCTTCTTCTAACACTGGTAGATATTTGCTTTCTTGAAAATTGTTGTATTCATGAGATTTCTGGATTTGCAGTGCATTGATGAATGTTTTTGGAATTGTATGGTTTTCAATTATCATTCCATTCAAGGGGTTTCAATGCAGTCTTTCACATTACCCAATCGTCTGATCTGCAACTTCATTCAAAATTTCACTACTTGAAAAAAAGGTATGAAACAAGCCAAAACAAATGCTCAGGATCAATAACATTCCACATAAGCAAATCAGAAACAACCACTGATATGATAATTGGAAATTATCCAACTCAATTAATTACAAACCAAGAACAAATAAAATCATGAACATTGATAAGGTCCAGTACCAATGGGCATGAAAATTCAATTGTTCAGAATTCATCATACTCAAATTTTTATTTCATCAAAATTGACAATCACCAAAAGCCAGTTTTGTGGAAATTGTAAGGTAGAAAAAATGCACATTTTTCAAAATTAGACCCACGATACTGACCCTAAATGTAGCTTCAAAGCACTTATTTGAAATGGCACTCAAGGCCTCAATTTCCTTACAGTTTTGTCACAAAGTGGGAATCCCTGGTGATTGCCACAAAGAATACAATTCTTTGAGAAGTTATTTGGTTTATGGTCTTTGTTTCTAATTTGAATCAATCTTGGATGTACTGTATAATTTAGTCTCCAAAGTAAAGATTCATTTACATGAATTTTCCACAATACTAAAGAAATTGTGAATCCTGCAACACCAGGAAAACCAAGGATCATTTGATCCCAATCAACATACCAGTTTACACAGGGGCCATTATAATACTCATGGATTTCACTTTTCCTGCAGGGATCATTGATTCTTCCTGATGAAAAATTTAAAGTAATCTATTCAAAATAATCTGAAAAACAGTGTGAGTTGATTATATATTGTTGAGTTTTCACCTCTATGGTCTACTCCTCCCTAAAATCACTTCCTCTTTCCCTTTTCTTTTTCTCTCTTTTCTTTCTTGAATAATTTTGATCTGGACTGAACTATAGTCTCTTGCAGCTAGTTTTCTGTTGAATCTTATGCACTCTTGTAGTAGCTAACTAGAACTCATTGTGGCAATTTTTATCAAACAACTCTGGTCTCAAAGATTGATTTCCTTCTTTTTCTAGTTCACTATTGGATTTTTTATAATCTGATTATTGAGAATTAATGCCTTTCAATATTTGTGGTTTAATTTGTGTTTTCTCTTGTTTAAATTACTGGCATGACTGAAAGAGATTGAGAAGGTTTGTCATGATTTTTATTTCAAGAACTCACATATTTAATCCTCTCAGTTTTTATTCAAACCCATCTTTTATTCAATTTTCTTTCAACCACATTTTTCACCACTTTGTATCTATTCTATTTAATTGAGATTGGTTGCAAGTCAATAAAAATCATTGGTTATATCACTCTATTTCCATGAACCTCTCCCAAAAAAGGAGTATTTTCCTTCTTAGCCCTTCTGCTCACTTCTGTCTTCTTTTGCGCCTCAGCTCTAAAATTCAACATATATACATTTGTTTGAGGAGTAAGATCAAACCCTCCAACAATTATTGATTGAAATAAACTTTGAGTCTTATGAGTCAGAATTGGGGGGCATGACATGCCAAGTTTAATCATCAGTAGAGAATATCTTGCACCTTCTGTAAGGATTGTGTTTCAATCCTTCACTGTCTGTCTGAAAAGGCACTAGCAATGAGCTCAATAGCTCTGGAGGGGAAGTTTCTCGTACCAACATGGATTTAAATTGCAGTCTAGACAGAAGAGAAAGATCTCTCATTAGTATATACAAGTGAAGGAAGTTCAGAAAAGGAAATGAGAAGAGAAGAAATAAAGACAGGGTACTTACCTCGACAGGAGAGAAACATATCTGCTGTCTAGGTAAAGGGGACAGTTGAGACTCAATACAAAGCAGAAATGGCCTATGTAATCTTGTGACAGGTTTGTGTAAGCCTGTGAGGAGTTGTGTATACACCTGCATGGTGAAGCAACCCCCCCCCCCCTGATGAGCTAGACTGGGGCACAGGACTGGAGCAGCAAGACATGGTGTGGTGTTGAGAGGTACTTGTGGAAGGATGTTCATTTCATCAGAAAAGGAAATGAAATGAAACAAAGAAACAAGAGGAGAAAAAAGAAGAAAGACAAGAAGAGGGAGAGAACAAAGAGACTAAACTGGAGCAGCGAGACACGGTGCGGTGTCGAGAGCTGGTTGTGGAAAGATGGGGAGAGATCCTTCCACGCCTGCTGCTCCAGGACTAGAGAACAAGTGAGATGTCACAAGTAGTGGCATCTGAGAGACATGTGTGAAAGCACAGCTTGTGAAACCCAACACTCCCCCTCTATGTGGACATGGATATTCACTGCAAACCAATATGTCTGGAAGGCCATGCAGGTCTGAAGACCTTTGGCGGGTTTGGCCTGCAGACTGATGAAATAGGAACCTAGGGGTTAGCACTGACCAAGCCAGCTTATGTGCCACATAGCAAGGAACTTTTTTTGCAAAAAGATACTGCTGTGAATCACTGGATACCTAACAGATCAGCCTCATTTTCTTGGCTCAGGATACCCATGCTGTTTGAATGTTTTATGGTGTACTAATTAAATCAGAGCCTCTGGATTTTTCAGGTTAGAAAAATCTCTAATTTGGAAATAGGCCATGAGCAATTTTGAAGGCAATTTTATGTACGAAGATTTTCAGCACAATAGTGTGCACATTCAACTGCATGAAGCACTTGACTTGGAATTTGGGCCAGCAAGATCAAGTGCTAAAGGGACAATCTTTCTTTTGTCTTTGGAACTCTTTAATGGAGAAGCTACAAGGGGGGAGGGGGTGGCCATATTTTGTAACAGGTACAGGGGCACTTCTACATTAACAGCCGTCTCAAGGGCAGGACTTGGTACATAGCCAAGTTCCATTGGGACAATTGGTAACTGGGGTGCACATGTGCACAAGCCCAGCATTGGTCCCCGACTCCGCAGCTGGGGTGTACTGGCCCTTGAGAGGGATTGTACAACTCCCTCACCATGAGCGGTACAAACCCAGTTGCCAAGGAGGGGAGATATGCTTGATGAAGTGAGCCGGCCATCAGGAAGGGATTCCTTCTTGGTGGCCGGCATGTTGGCAGGTATGGCACATTTGCTTGATACTGGCCAAGGGAGGCTTTGTGCCAACCCCCACCAACTTTAACATGTGCCAAGCAGGGGCTGGGATGGTGCCACACACACGTTAGGATAGGCCAAGCAGGCTTTGAGATTGGCCCAGCGCGCTTGGCCCCATTTTAGCCAAATTTTGGCCTGTGCCCAGCATGGCTTGATACACCATTAAGCACTCCAACTGGCACTTAAGAGCACCATTACCGGTTGATCTAAAAGCGAGTGATTGAGGCCTGCAGCCATTGCCAAGTTGCAACAGCAACAATGATTCAGTTGTACCGGTGTGGCTTGAGGTTGTGTTGAAATGAATGGTTTGAAGTCAAGGTGTGTAATATTTACATGGCCAGGGGGGGACACCAAACTGAACGTGATTGGAAGTTTTCAGCCCAAATCAGCTGCTTGTGGGATAATTTTGGGGTCCAGCATAGCCGCAACTAGAACCTCAACTGATTGCCCCTCACCTTGCCCCCGGCTAGAATTCCAAGGCAATAGCCGCCTTGGAAGAGACCGGCTACTCCCCTTTTTGATGTGTTTTCCTCTAGTCACACACCAAAACAACAAAAATGATGGGAAGTTATGTTGGCAATAACACTAGAGGCTTGGAAAAACGACTCCCAAATTTTAGTCGACGACTCCTGTTTGGGTTGGGAGGTCGTCAAACGGGAGTCGTTCTTCCAATTCCCGGGAGTCGTCGGCCTAATTCCACAGGCAATTTTTTATTTTTTTTTTAATTGAAAATTTGGGAGTCGTCCACCTAAAAGGCGGGAGTCGGCGCCCCACATTTGATCCTTAATTTTCTTGATTCTTTTTTTTTCCTTGGGAGTAGTCAGGCTAATTTCCCCAGACGGAAAGGGAGTCGATGGCCCAATCGTCCAAACTGACAACTGGGCTTTTTTTGTCTCGCAGGAGTTGTCGACAAATCCCTAGGAGTCGGTATGAATTGTACAATGAAATTGTTCGCCGGCCTGATTGGTATCAAAACGTGTTCCACAAACTCCTCGGTGCTTTGGATTGTATCAAGGTTGATTTGCCATCACCTTGTTCAAAGCCTCATTGGATGTCAATGCCTTTGACGGGTGAGGTAATGACAAATGCCTTTGAGAGGCCTGTGCTTTTTTTCTGACACCTTTTGCCAGACTTTTCTTCCTTCTTTCTGCCCCCCCCCCCAATGACAACCCCCCTATTTTTATTGCTTTTCTACATGAATTTTCTCATTTTGTCCCCTTGCAGTTACATAACCCAAGACTGTTTGCTGCCCCTCAGCTCATGAAGGAGTAGAAAGAAAAGGCGTCAGAAGAGGCTTGGGGATGGGAAGCCCAATTTTCTGATTCTTTCAAATTGACTGTAGAGAGGAAAATAGAAAATCCAATGAAACACCACTAGGGTTTTTTTTATCCTGTGTCTTTTTTAGTTTTTGATTTTTTTCCTCTATGTCCTTTTTTACCCTTTTTTTTCTTACTTTTCTGATCATTTTTGAATATTTTTGGCCTGTTTGTCATCTCTTTTATCTCTTGCAATGGTTTTTCTCAATCAATCTAATTTTTTTATCATTGATAAATTGCCTTTGGGGTGAGGCCTCAGTGGCTCAACCTTTTTTTGGAGTCTCTGAGGGTGCCATATGGTGACAACTCCCATTTCTAGTTGGACGACTCCCTTCTTTTTTTAATATAGAAAAAAAAGGCAAAACATTTGGCGGAATTGGTACGACGACTCCCTTGTATTAGGTGGACGACTCCCGTCAATTTAAATATAAAAAAGGGCAAAATATTAGGCGGAATTGGTGCGCCGACTCCCGCACTTTAGGCGGACGACTCCCTATTTTTTTAATAAAAAAATAAAAATTCTCCAGGTAAAATTAGTGTGACGACTCCCTATGTTTTTTTGGGAATTGGAAGAACGACTCCCGTTTGACGACCTCCCGACCAAAACAGGATTTGTTGACTAAAATTTGGGAGTCGTTTTTCCAAGCCCCTAACACTAATGTAACAATAACATAACGGAATCCGCACCACTATTGCTATGATAGCTGCAACGGCCCTGCCGTTAAGTTATCTTTTCTTCGTTTTTTCTTCTCATTTCTGTTATTTTATCCACCCCAGAAAACGGGTGTATATCAAACACATGAGGAGGTGTTTTGACCCGTTATTCATGGGATTTTCTGCAGATAATGTGGAAAATGTGTTATCCGCATTGATTTTCCATGTAATGAGGGGTAAAAGACTCCTTGTTACGTTGCTTGAGCCTCAAGAATGTAGGTTTCCCGGATAACAATAACTTGTTACCAGGTAATGCTGGGAAGTTATGTTACAAAAATCCGTTTGGATATTGTAATGTAAGTAACTGTCCATTGTTGAAAACAACACCACAATGCTTCAATCCAATACTTCAACAACTAGCTACGCCTCCTGCACAGCAATCAAGGAGTTAAATTTACTCTTGATCACTGCTGGGAAATTCTCCATAATTTAGCAAAGTGGCAAGAGACAATGGACAAGATCAAAGCAGAGCCTAAATAAGAAAATTCAGATACCGACTTTGGAAGCAAGCTCCATGAAAGCAACAACAGACAATGAGAGTATCAATGTCAAGTGTCTAAGTTGGATGGCAAGATGATTGTTGTTGTTGTGCATGATATTGAGTTGATCCATCGGATTCATTGTGGAGATGTGCTTGTTGACAGAGGTGTCTAGTTGTCTACCAAGCTTGGTGTCTTGGCCAACCGCCCCCTGCTACCTATTTCCAGTCTGCTGTGGGAGCAATGTTACTGAGCTGAGACAGGGGTGTGAGATGTGGTCCCAGGCCACTATTCCGCCGGAAATCCACCCCCGGCTCTGATGGAGATGCTCTCATGCTAGTTGAGCTTGAATTAACCACTGGTACAGGTGCTTTAAATCCAAGACATGTTTGGAAAGTCTGCATCACATTCAGATTTCATATTCCACTTGTCTGATCTGAAATGACACAGGATGGTGACATTGGCTGTCATTTTTGTAGAACCAACAGTTGGCGGCTACACTAACCGTAGCGGAATTCCGCTAATGCTTAGCGTAGCACAGCGGAATTCCGCCACAACTGCACTAACGCTATGCGTGTGGTCCCCAAAAAAGGTCTCACTATGCTGTGCTACAGCACATTTTAGCGGCTTTTGGGGCCGTTTTTGCTGCTAAAAGCGCTGTAGCGCAGCGTAACGTAGCGTAGTGGTGCTAAAAGCACGCTAACACTACAGGTTTGGAGCGCTGTTTTGAGGGCCGCTAGGCTAACGTTAGTGGGCTGTTTAGTGTAGTGTAGCGTAGCGGCCCACCGTTGGTAGAACCTTATAATTAACCCTGCAGAATCTGGACCGGCTTTTGCAAGCATGAACATCAGAAAATGCGTTGTTGCAGGCTTGATTTGATGGGCTATAATCTAGGGTCTGTCTAATAGCTATGTATTCCATCTTTCTTTACGGCTAGGACACAATCCTCAAAAGCGTACAATTACTCAAAAAAGAAGAAGAGAGATGCTAGTGATGGGCAGAGAACATTTCAACATCAATATCTGTCCTTTTTTTCAATCAGAAAAAAAAGGTAAATCAGGAGAGAATGAAACCATGAACAAGAACATGATGAGTGGCTTACAATTGTGTGAGGTTTTACGTTTTACATATACACAGAGACAGAGACAGATAGAAACATGTATAATTGATATGAGAGTCGTATTTGGGAAGATCATGTCCATTATGAGTGAGTCTGAACCCGATGAATAGAAAGAGAATAACTACAACAGGTGTCAATATGTATGTATAGTAAGTAAGAAATGATATGTCTATGAATTTATTTGTGTGAGTATCTTGATCATGATGGATATATTGAAAGCAAGCAAACCACACAGTCATACCTACCAATCCTATTGCTCTTGGTTCTTGTTTCTTGTTTCCTTCAACACGATGACCATATATCTGGGATCCAGAATTACAAAAAAACAAAGTCAAGAGAAGAGAAGCAGTGATAAACTTTTTTTTCTTTTGGTGTTCTTTCTTTTTCTTTGAAAAAAAAAAAACAAAGACAAAAAGCAAAAAACACAAACACAAACATGAAGTGATTGAGTCTGGTCTCAATATGTCAGTATGTAAAATGTATCTTGAATCAAAACAAATACAAACAATCTTTTTTTTTTCGAAACCAAAAATGGATGACATTTATCTTTTTTTTTTTGGATGACTGCATGTGTGTAGAATATTTGATTCTTTTTTTTTTGATGGTTGGATGGTTTTTTTTTATGAGTATATATATAAAGATAGAAATTTGAGTAAGTCTCAAAAAAAAAAGAGATAATCAAAACCAATGGGAGCACATGAAGGAAAAGGAAGGATAAGCAGACAAAGAAAAGCCGAAGATTAGATGACCTCGAGGGATGTTTACATGAGATGTTTCTTATACCTAGCGGACCGAATCTCGGGCGAGCCGATTTCGAGTGCGAGGACGATCTGAATATTGCGGATCCATTCCTCTGAGGGGGGCGCGCCGATGTGAGGGCCAGCGAGCCAGATCTCGATCCGGTCTCCATTCCTTCGCCGTGAGCCGACCACCCCGACCACTCTGCCGCCCTGTTTCAGCGGCTTGGATTCATCGTGCCCTGCACTGCCGCTGTTCCCACTCAGCTTTCGGTTCGCATCCGTCTCTAATACCCCGCCGGCTATCAATAACACAATCGATTCAAACGTCGGATCTAAGGCTGCTAATGGGGTCTGGATCGTCAATCGTCCGCCCTTACATAAGACAATGTTTGTTTGTTTGTTTTTCATTCCAATTCCCATCAGCAAACCCCCTATATCTTGTGTGTTCTTATTTCTTTTCTTCTTTCTTGGTATATTTATCTCACCTTAGCGTTCCATGGGTCTTCCCAGACCGGATTAACGCCGACTCTAAAGAAGTGAAGATTATGGCCGGGTTTCATAGCGATGAGACCCAAGCCGTTACCGGGGACGACGAGAGTATCTTCGAGAGGGCCTGTGGGAGTATTATCGGGAGTTCCGGGGAGTTCTGTAGAGGCGAAGCTTCTACGGAATCCGGGGGAGCTAGTTCCGGCGGTATGAGGGGTTGAGGGAGGGGGGCCGATGAGGTTACCTTTCCGGATCCCCTCTGCAATCGTATGTTTGAAGCCGGCCAGACAGGCACAGAGACTCTCGACATCGCCGATCCCGGTGAACACCTGGGACATCCCGGATTGGTATTCGGCCGCCTTGAGTAAGGAGGTGTGGTCCCTTTGAGAGTGGGAGTGATGGTGTCCTCGGACGGAGGAGGACTTGGAGACGGAGGTGTCTGAGAAGAAGAGCGTCCAGGAGTGGGCTAGGAGGAGTGGCGGGGTGGGCTGGATGGGCTCCTTCTGCTCTGGGCTCTTGGTACTGCTCAGATTGATGAGCTCGAGCGTGCGCCTGATCGGTTCTTGTTGGGATTCGGTCAGGTAGGGTAGTTTGTTGGCGATCGTCGTCAGTGGGGAGAGGCTCGAGTCCTGCGAGTCTCCGTTCTCGGGTAGTGGCTTGAGTGTGGATGATGGTAGTCCGTCTGGAGTGGGTGCGTTGGACAGTTGGACGAGAGAGGTTGATGAGGCTGTTCGGGGTGCGATGGATGAGCCGTTGGAGGTCATGGATGAGTTGCGCCTGTGATGGTTGTATTGTTGTTGGTGGTTTGAGTCTGAGCTGTGTTGGTTTGATTTGATGGCGAATGAGTTGTTGTTGTTGTTGTTGTTGTTGTTGTTGTTGTTGTCGATTGTTGTGGTGGTAGTGTTCTTTGGTTGTATTAGGTTGTTGAGTTCGAATGAGGTTTGGCGAGAGTGAGTGGTAGTGCTCTCATTGCGTCTGTTGTTGTTGTTGTTGTTGTTGTTGAGCTGGATGAGGTGGGGGTGGTGGTGTTGGTGGTGGTTCTGGTTCTTTCTGATCGAGCTGATCGAGGCAGTCGTACCACTGGCCATCTTGCTTTCTCTCTTTGGTTTTTTGGTTTTTTTTTTTTTTGAGATGGGGGTGGCCGGTGGTTCTTTTTGTTCAAGCTGGGAGGTGATCGAAGACAGGGGCGGAGGGGAGCAGGCGAAGTCTTTCACAACTTCTTCACGTGCTTCGAACTTACATAACCCGACCGCCCGAGAAATCCATAACACTAATCAGTATAAGTACATACACACATATTCATCAACACTGCTCAACAATCCATAATACATAATCACATGCCAGTCAAGCTACAAGCACACATTCTGTCAAACCCTAGCATGCTGTGAAAAGTTGATGCTCATAAAACAGATTGCTTGAATCATTTCATGAACCCTAAGACCTTGATCCTTCAAAACTGCTACAACATAAACAAATACCATCCATCCAATTCCTCTAAAAAGATCAAAGGGACTAATCCGAGCCATAGAAAACATACATACATACATATCTTCATTAGAATTCAGGAATGATGGAGAGAGGGAGAGGCCAAATGGAAACTAGCAGGAAGACATGGGTTTCTTTTCTTAATTATTGTTACATTTTCATAAGTGCTGGACGAGTATTTTCTTTTTGTTACAGGACAATTTTTTTTTTTTAAAAAAGCCAATAAAAAACCAGCAAACGAAAAGTATGCAGCAGATAGGATGTTGTTTTACCAAGGGATGTTTCAAGCGATCAAGCCGTCAGTCTCTGATGAACTGGCACTCTCACTCCTCAGATAACTAGGCAAACTTTGAGGATATAACACATAATGTTGGATCAGGAATACTACATCAAAACTAATTGATAAGATCGCAATCCCACTGTTTTTCAATAAAACAAAAAACAAAAACACAAAAAACAGTTAGTTCTTGAGGGGGGGGGGGTCAAGGTTTGAAAACAAAAACTCAACAGTTTTCCTGGATTTGATTTCATGCTGCTCCAGTCATTATCGAGACCTGCATCGAGAATCATTTGAGCGCTTCAAAACCAACAGAACTCAGTATCCGAGAGGATTCAACTGGTTGAAACCCAGAGGGAAGATGATTAGAAAGACATACAGACTCAAGACGCCACCAGTGAAGTCGAGAATGATATTCTGGATACTCCAGCCGACGGTACTTTTGCGTCTCCAATTAAGGACAGCCTGGGGCAGATACTTGGCAAAGGAGATCCAGACCTTGATGGTCGAGAGAGCGGTGATGAGGTCGATCCATTGGAAGAAGTGATGGTGTCGAGAGGCCAGCGATTCCGAGTCGAGGGTCCAGATCAGGAGACAGATGATCGTCATCGTCAGTAGTGTCAGCGTCGTCCGAGTGATCGGAGACACCCTTTGAGTGATGTCTCTCTTTCGTACATCCATGAAAAAAAAAACTCAGCACTTTTGGAAAAAAAGGAAGGAAGGTAAAAAAGAATTTTGATCGGGAGTCAACTCACTTTGTAATAGAAGCTCTGCAGCCAAGTGAGCGAGCTGATGACGAGTGCATGGAGGGCGAAGATGAGGTCGTTGAAGCGCACGTTAGGCACCCCGCCGTTATGCCGATCGGCGTATTCGTTCCGGACCACAGACGACAACAGGAGTCCGAATGTCGAGGCTGAGTAACACAAGAAACCTATGCAAACCCAAGCCCATATTGTTTTTGTAACTATCAGTATCTTTAACATGCAGATCGATCAGGAGATAGAGAAAGCGCAAGAAGGGTCGAGTATGACTGGAACGAAAATCGAGACTTAACCGAACACGTTAAGCGCCAAGAAATCGAGCGATAAGCCTCGTACACTAGACCAACCCGCCAATTACCAACAAAAACCCCTCTCAGTTTTGTTTTTTTTTTTCGACAAAATGGAGGAAACAGAGAAGGAAAGAGATGGAGTGGGAAAAAGGACGTACGACTTGCGCTTGTAGTTCAAGCGCAGTTGCGGATAAAAGCTGATGCCCCAAGCGAGAGTGTACACCCATCCGAGCAGGTTCGAGACGCCATGGCCGAAGACGGCGAGCGGACTCGACATCGAACCTTGGTTCCAAAAAAACCCCGGTCCCTATCTAGTTGGTCTCTTTTGTTTAATCCCTTGCCGGAAAAAAAAATGGACGAGCTCGGTTATGGGATTGGCGGTGATGTGTTTTTTGGGGGACTTGGAAAGAAATGAGGTGTGCGGTTGAAGATTGTGGTCTGCTTGTAATACTGGAGGACTTCCTTCTGTAGACCCTACGGAATCAGATTTGAACCCATGGGAGTCAGATCTTGCAGGGAAATCTGATAATCTGGTTTTGTAGGGGCTGCAGAACCAACCAGAAGTCGTCCTCCATTGTTTTACACCTTCACAACCAACAAATGATCAAGCTTACATAGCAATTAAATATGTCAGTCCTTCGAAACATCCATGGATCAGCCTCAACATGAAAAGAACCTGATCATCTCTCGCTCGGCCAGCTTCGGACTGGTCACTGACCTATGGTCCCGTGAAAACACCCGGGTGGCGCCGTTCGGGTTATACCTTTACCCGTGGTGTACATAGACAACCACTGCACACAGCCTGGTTGTGTATGTCCATGTGTATACATGTGCTTTCCTATGACGAAGTGTCGCCAATTTCGGCCACACCTCAAGCCACTGGTTGTTATTTGCCACAATGTGTGAGGCAGTGTGGAGCCATGTGTTTCTACCAGCATAAATTTACATCGAGTCCGCCTCTGCGAGTCACCCTCCACACTCATCCAGCACTGCATACCAATCTTCCGCCGGATAGCGTTCTGGTGAGTTATTCCTCAAATAAGAACTACTAAACATCGTGGTTGAACTAGACCTTGGTCACTCTTCACAGTTCACGACCATCATCACCATTGTATTCATTCTCCTGGGGACATACTGTAAGTCAGCGGATGCACGATTGCGCAAGGGATCTCATTTGCTCGTTACGTTGCATTTACATCGTATTCCTTTCTATGTCGCATTTCCTAAGGAATCTCGAGAAAAGCATCAGCCATGAACCTGAGGTCCTTTATATCGTTGGTCGTCGCACTTTTTTTTACAATTGATGTCGCAAATGGCGAGGATTCGTGTCCGCCCCTAATTGGACCAGGCTGCTGTCCTGGTGGAGCAATCTGCATAGATAAACAAAATCCAAGGAAAGGTGCGTGCACACAGGCATGTGCATTCACATGCTATCGACAAACTGATTTATTTACCTGTTTTTTGTTATAACGCCATGTTTTGTGACTTAAAAGTAAGGGTAGCTGAACATATCGGATCATACCGGTACCCTTTATACCGTTGCTTGGACTATGAAAACCTAGAATGCAAATAATCTTTCCGGTCGATTTCTATACTCGAGCATAAATATGTTGCCCCCTGTTGTCACCAGAACCTAAATGCAAGTCCATCTTGGCTCTGCCAAGACGGCCCTATACTCATTCTACTTACGGTATCTTTGTCTTGCGTATTGAAGAGTGTCTACTTCGCCATGCCCATCCTGACCTAGGAGGCACCAAGAATAGCTGTCGCTAGGATCTTAGCAGCTGCTGATATTTATGTGTGGGCATCGAGAGCAGATGATTGAGAGGGGCATAGAAATATGCGGGACAGGAAAGAGAGCTGACAGCCAAATTGACCCTGAGCCCAGCAAGAAGGCCAAAACCCCTAAGAAATAGGCCCAAGTGACACCGGTCGAACCAGCTGATGGTCACCCCAAAGATGATGAGATTGACGACGATACAGTCTGCAAGCTCGCTGACGAACTCACACAGCAGTTCAAAGGTGTTTCTCCTCCCCTTCGTTCCAACTCAGACGCGGAAGAATCCAGTGACCATGGGGAGAACGACAGAGTCCCAGGGGCGGAGGAGCGCGCTAGACGTTTGAAGGAATCCGATGAAATTTCATTTCTACGTCAATCGTGATTGTATAATATGCCTACCAAAATTACTCTAACTAGCCAAAATTACTATAATTGCTCACTTCAACTATTTCAAACTACTCTGGTATCTCTAATTATCTCTAAAAAAACTATGGTCATTTTGACTAGAATTACATCAGCATTGATCTAGCTAGCTCTAACTATCAGCATTGCTCTGTATGAATTCATCTTGGAATGGATCAATGATCTCAAATTGGCCAGGAAGGTTCAATAGAAAGTAAACTTCAGTTTTTTGGGTAACAGCATCCTTGATGTGAGAATCAGGGAAATATTTGACCAAGTCTCCTCGGTGAGAGTCACTATTGTAAGAGACTACAAAAAAAATACCCCGTCGAATTATAGCTATTATTCAACCATTGCTCAAAAAAGACGAGGTGTGGACTGCCCAGAGGTTTGAAGCGAAAAAACAAGAAAATCGCCTTCCAAACCTTATGACCTCAGGCGGTGAGGTCGATTTGTCATGAAGCCTCTGCTTCGGAGAGCGTCCCTTCAGGGCCCTCTGAGCGAGAGGCTTTGTTAAGCTCGAGTTAAACTAAGATCCTTTTGATTTGAATTGCTGCACTCTTGCCCCATGCTATCATTTCCCGAGTGCTGGAGTGACTCAGCTATGATTGAGGGATTTGGTCCTTCTGGTGCTTGCCCAGGTGAATCACATTTCATGCATTGGAGATGCTCCCAAGCTTCATCTGGTCGTTGATGGTGGGCCGGTGATCGCACATCCGTCGGTCTGGGTTTAAGCCTTAAGGTTCTCCAAGGCTGAATGCGCGTGACGGCAGCCGGACAGCTAGACGGGCCGCACCGCGCACATCTTCAATCGCGAGTTGGCAAACCTACTTGCTGCGGAAAAGTAACGGATAGGTTTCGGCACTCGCCTCACTCGCACTCGTTCGCCGCGGCTGGGGCACTCTGGCCCGACATTCCCCCCCCCCCTCCAGCAAGATCACCGGCGAACCACTTCAAGACAATCGACGACATCCGACATGACTAGCAAAGGTATGATTCCAGCCGTTTTCAAATCTTCTCGAAGCCCTCATCACGAAAACAATATACTTATTTATGACGACTTTCTGCAACCGACCTACCAATCAATGACCTCCTACTCATCCCACGGACAATCGACTTAAATCGTTCATGATGGGTCGAATTCTTATATCATCAAGTCCGAGCTCATGAATTGGTCACCAAGTCCAAGGCCGACTTGACCAAACAGCTTGAAGAGCTGAAGGTCGAGTTGGTTGGACTCCGAGTTCACAAGGTCGTCGGTGGATCTTCATCCAAATTAACCCGAATGTCTGTCCCCCATCGCCAAGTTCTCTGAAATCGAACTCCTTTGTCCTCATCACTCAGATCCTCTCAATTACAATCGGACCGACAAGATTACTGACTAATTGTCTACGGCGTCTACTTTCCACAGTAATACAGTCCGAAAAGCTATCGCCCGTGTCTTGACTGTCATCCAATCGAAGACACGTGAAAACCTCAAGCAGCTGTACAAGGGCAAGAAGCACCTCCCACTCGACCTCCGAGCCAAGAAAACAAGGGCCATCCGTCGTCGTCTTACCAAAGTTCGCCCAACCTCTACTCTGCTCAAGTTTATTTTTTTACGACTGCTGCTTACATCCAACTGTCAATCATTTTTCCTCGATCCACAGCACGAGAAAAACTTGAAGACCGAGAAGCAGAAGAAGCGGGACATTCACTTTCCCAAAAGGAAATACGCATTGAAGGCCTAGAGAGCCCCAGTTGTCTCTATCATCCACCTCTGCTCATGCCTTCTATGTTAAATTGAATCAGCTCGTATGGTAATCCTCACACTATGTTTTTCCACTACGTGGTGAACGGAGCTCCTCTCCATGTTGACAACAGCATGAAAGTCGCTTGGGGATAGCCCTTGCCCTCTTCAGTCCCATGCCAACTCTTTTCACATCTTGCAGCAGGCTTTGAGTACACAGGCAACTAGGCGCTGAGTCTGGTTGAAGACAGCACATCCGCCAACTTTGCGGCTTAAAGAAGTCTAGAATGAAATCAACGAACCTTCTAATACTGAGTGCATGGGTTCATGCTTTAAACGTGTTTCTGAGGGAGTTATTTTAGTGCATTGCTTACCTCGATCCTCGAATGAGATGCTGCCATTTTGCATTCCTTTTCTTGAGTTGATCAAGACAGGTAGGACCTCACATTGGTAATACAGCGACCAATCCCAGATAAGATTTGGCCAGAAGGATTCGCCAAATTGGCTGGAAGGGGTTGTTGATATTGAACTCGCCCTAACCCGCCCCAGTTCAAAGTAGCTGGAGCGAATTTGAGTGAATGCTTGGGTTACATGCTTACAGTATAATTTGTGACTGCGATGGGTCAGTGTATCATCCCGCTCCAACAGTCCAACCTCAACAGACTTGAACTTCACCAACCCGTACCCTGCACATTCACATCAAACCATGAAAGCAGTCCGTTGCTTTCCGTGAAGACATTTCTAATCCGACCGGTTTCGCGCGCTGAGTGTGCACAAAGAGGAGGCAAGACCCATTCGGACTGTTATCTCCGAACCTCAAGCGCAGTTATATAGTTTTTCGACCCCCATTTAGGTCTAGGCTTAGCTAGCTATTAACCGCTTTACTTGCCCTTTTCTGCCATGATCATGATGAAGAAATTGTCTTTCATTTGTCGATCGGAAGTGCCTCCATAGCAAAACATGACTGCGTTGAATAAACCTCAAGTGATTCCCAATTGGGGGGGGGGGGGGGGGTCTGCAACACAAGTCGCCAAAAAAATATCCCTCGTAATATGGAAGCCCATAAACCATCATCAACCATAGCTCTGGGGGATGTCACGGGGTATGCAGGTGTTCAGTGCATGGTATGTTAATGTTAATTGTATAAAGTCTCAAGAGATGCCGCGCTCGCTTTGATCTTGACATCCACATCACTACAAGGAACAACCCAATCTCTGCGATGATGATTTAATTCGTAGTTTTCTCCTACATACCCAGCTCGAATATCTCCCAAGTTTTGCGCCGATCAGCATCATCCCGCAGGACGCCCAAGTACACTTTTGGATTTTGTTTTCCTATCTTATCTTGCCTTACTAGTTAGAAGAGAAGAAACCATGAACGGGCTTGGAGTGTTCTCACATCTAGTTCCGTTGACCGTTCAAGCCAGTTTGTTCAATCTAGTCTGGACTCGTGATGATTATTTCCAGAAACCTCTTATCCGATGGACCAGGATCTCTCTCTTACCGATAACACTTGGTGTGATGTTCTCTGAGTTGGTCAACTTGAAGTATCAAGCCGAGCTCTCGTCGCACACCAAACTCTGTATTGGTAGTGTTATCACTTCTCAAGCCATGAAATCCGTCATGTTTACTTTCAAGCAACCCGTCTCATCATCGCCAATCAAGACAAAAGATTATCCTGCCCCCCAGCCTCCGTCGTTCTTATCTACTCTCACCAATGTGATTTCGCTGGTACTCGCGTGAGTGCCCAGCATTTGATTGTTCAGATTCCTTAAAGAGATGCATTTCGTCTTATAACTTGGTCTTCTTGTTTCCTGCATCATCCACAAAAACATTTCGAACCAGTTCAAGCTCCGATCCATCAAAGCGCGAGATATCTGGCTCCGGGACCAATCACAGGATCCACTCGGATATAATGTTCTTATCGAAAACCTTCCGACGTTTGCTTGTTCATCACATCTGTGCTGTTATTGCATTGGCTTGTTGGAGGGGGGTGAATGATGAAGCTCTGATCGATCAACTGGCAGTCGGACCAATGATCAAGAAGTTCAAGTGCGAGATTACAGCATTTTGTTGCGGGAACCTTATCTGGACCAACATGGATCTTTTCGGGTGTCTCCTTAGATTATTCTGGTTTACAGTCAAAATTATTAATAGATTGTTATTAAAACTCTTACCATCAGTTTTTAAGAATATGCCACCTTCGGAAAAACTCAATCAAACCGATTTGGAAGAAACCTCCCCTCTTCTATTTAAAAAAACTCCGTTAGAAGCTACAAGTATGACAGATTTCTGGGGTAGACATTGGCATCAAATGATCAGAAGCCTTGTTGTTGAAGCGGGTGCTGTTCCAGTCACCTCCTTCTTGGTCTGGGTTTTCGGAACTGATCAACTTCACCCGAAAGTGCTCAGACTTGCTGGAGTTCTTGCGGCCTTCACAATCTCAGGATTGGTTCATGAAGCTGGTAAGTGATTTCACATCGGGAGAAGGCCTAAGTTACATCATCTTTAACATTGAATCATTATCTTTTATAAATGCCTTTTTTTCTCAGGAGTATGGACGGCTGGACCGATCGACCTGACGTTCAAAACTACGATATTTTTCATATCTCAAGGAGTCGCAATATGTCTAGAGAATGTGTTCAAGCAAGCCTTCGGACGAAAGGTGGACGGCTTCCTTGGCAGAATATGGACTTTTTCGTGGTTGGTTTATTTTGGCACACCGATGGTGACTCTTTGGTTTGTTTCCCTAGCTACACCCCTTCAATGATTTTTGAAAAATGTATTCAATCACATGCTAGTTAATCAATACTAACTTTGTTACTCTTGGCTTTGAACGAGGCTTAGGTTGAACACGGCATTTTTTGACCAAACCGGTTTATTTCAGAAAGTAGACGAACTTGGCCTTTTAAGAATGTCTCTGATGCCACTGATTGTACCCAAACTACTGAGCCATTCACTATAAAAACAAATAGTCTCTTTTGCTTCTTGGTATCAGTTGAATTTCACTACTTGCGATCGATACTGAACGTTTATCATTTCATCATTTCAACGCTTGGAATCTGGCATCAAAAAACTACCCTTGAAAAAAAATTGAATAAAATCAAATCTTACTGTCATAAGATTGAGTCTGAGGTCAACACAAACTCCGATTCTCTCTATTGAGTCTAAAGATACACCCAAGTTAAAAAATAAACTTTGTTTCAACTCACATTTTCACTAAAGCTCCTTAGTCCTGCTTTAAAACTTTTTTTTTTTTCATTTCTAGACTACGTTATTGCAAGTATATAACAAGAGTATTGTCTCATGGCCTGGCACAAGGGTTAGTGTTAGGGTACAAGAAGAAATCCAAGACTGTGTGCTTCAATAATGGCTTCTCATCAAGGTGTGACAAAAAGGTCCAGAACCATGACAGGCTGAAATCTGGAGCTATCCCATATATCTGATATCATCATTGTGTAATGCCTGTAACAACAAGAAAATGTAGCAGTAGATTAGACACCAGCAAATACAATTCATCCTCCACTGGTTGCCCCCCCCCCCTGAGTCAGGTATTGTTATCTCTTCAGACTTCAACACCCCCACCACTGTTGTCAATTGCAGTTCATCTGCACCAATACCCAATCCAAATAACCCCAATAACCATAAAGATAAAGAGCCTGGCAATCCCAAAGTGCAAAGTAAAACCAACAGCAAAGAAAAACCAACAGCAAAGAAAAACCAACAGCAAAGAAAAACCAACAGCAAAGAAAAACCAACAGCAAAGAAAAACCAACAGCAAAGAAAAACCATAGAAAAAAAACTAGCAAAGTGTGGGAAAAGTTTACCACAAATTGCAAAGGTAAGAGCATCTTCAATGGCCCCTGGCTTGTGGCCCTGGAGCACATTTCACAGGGTGTTGCAGACCCGTCAACATTTGGTCCACATGGGAATTGCCAGATATACCAACCCAAAAAACAGGCTGGACCATCTCCACATTGGCCAGACCTGATTGTGCTGGTCATCCTCCCTTCACTTGCCATAGAAAGACGGGGGAATTTTTGAGGAACAACTTTTTGGGAAACAAAAAAAGGTTTTGTTGGAGTGGCTCAAGGGTTGGAAAAAGGGAAAGAGAGAGCCAATGATTTTTATTTGCTAGTAGAGCCTACACACTAAATAGATTACATATAACAAGTTCAATATGTGGTTGAGAAAAATTGAATATCAAAGTGAATAACAAAGATTAACATATGCTTGAAAGTATAAATGGGGTGAATGACAGTTGATAAAGACTATACCAGGGTTCAAAGACTACAAGGATTTCAGCACTAGACAACATGACAAGATACCACACAAAAAACCAACAAAACAATGTAGTAATCACATTATTATTTATCTAATCATTTACTAATTTAAAGGTGAAATAGGTGAGTTTTTTAGGGATGAGAAGAAAAGAGACAGAATTCTAACAGAAAGGCATTTTGTATTCAAGATTGCTTAAGCAGATGGTCACACACGGTCTCCAATGGAGTGAGCTCATGGAATTGTCCGATTTTTTATTTACAACATATCTTGTGTTTTAAAATTCAACCATCAGGTGAATAGTTGAATTGCCAAATTGAGGTTGCAAGTCCCAGTTTAGCAAGTACATTGGAGATGCTCTAATTAATAGGAAATTTATTGATTCAACCCACTGGATTTTCCCTGGGCTCTTGGAATTAACAAATTGTAAATGTACATGTGTTGAATATCTCTATTATTTCAGAAGAAACATGTGCAGTGGGTGGACCATTATTTCTGGCTGCTTGCTTGGGATTCCAGAGCTTCAAAGTACAAACTTGAAGTCAAAAGTCTTGGTTAAGTGGTGCAGAATAGATCCCAAAGAATGAATATGAAGAAATACAAACAAAACACCAAGTTTCAACATTTACAAAAGATAAAGAATAAAATTGATTTTTTTTTCAACAGCTTTGATATTCATTTTGGGGGAGTGAGAGCGCTGAGAGAAAGAGATATTGGGACATGAGAAGAATGATCATAAATGAAAATTCTGGAAAATTGTTTCCAGATGGCTTCAAACAGCTGTTGAGCAGGGCATTCATCAACCCAAATTGCAGTAAAGCACTGCAATTTACTGTTTTGAATCCAATCTGGACAACCAACCTGGCTCAACCTTTTTTGGTTCGAATTTTCTTGTTTATAATCATTCTTGCCATGCTCTGCTATTTATTTCTATCATCTCTCCCACTCACCCAAGATGAATATCAATAATCAAAGCTTTTGAAAATGGGGTGAATTTACAACTCCCAAAATTTAGTTGACAATCCCCAACAACCATTGACAGATATCCATTGGGAGTTGTTCCTCCAAATGGATTGCAGACTTTAGGAGTTTGCCATCAAGGTTTCTTTTAGGGCATTAATAAAAAAACCCGGGTTTTCCGCGTTTTGACGCGGTTTCTGCTGTGCGCAGCACACGCGGTTTCTGCGTTTAGACGCGGTTTTTGAATTAATTTTTTTTACCCTTAATTTTCAGTTTTTTTGATTTTTTAAAGTTGTTTCCTAGGTTTCCAAGCGTGTAGAATTTAATGGTAAAAACAATTTTCAATAAAAAACCACGTCTAAACGCGGAAACCGCGTGTGCTGCGCGCAGCAGAAACTGCGTCAAAACGCAGGAAAACCGGGTTTTTTTTATTAATGCCCTTAAAAAAAAGGGTGTTAATAAAAAAACACGGTAAATCCGCGTTTACACGTGGTTTTGCTGCGGCACAGCACACGCGGATTCCGCGTGTACACGCGGTTTCGTAATTAATTTTTTACTGCTTATTTTTTGAGTTTTTTCAAAATTTTAAAATTTATTCCTACACTATGAAAGGTGTAGAATGTAATGGTAAAGTCCATTTTCCATAAAAATGACTTTGATTTTTTTTATTTTTCTGCTCACTCATTTTTACAATTAAATGTTACTAGCTTGTTTTTAACTATTTTTTGACATGGTAAAATTGTTTCCTACACTTTGAAAGGTGAAGAATTCAATGGTAATAATTATTTTGCATAAAAATGAATTTTATGCATTGTAATTTTTGTTCCCACTCATTTTTTCAATTAATTGTTAGCGGCTTGTTTTTCATTCTTTTTGGACATTGTAAATTTGTTTCCTACACTTTAAAAGGTGTAGAATTTAATGGTAAATGTAATTTTTCATAAAAATGATTCCTTTGCGTTTTAATTTTTGCTCCCACACATTTTATTGATGCAAGCATAGTGGAAAGTTCCTGGTGGTTATTCAACCTTCCAAACTTGAATTTATCAATGGGAACAGGTAAAAAATACTGTAATATTCTAGTGAGGCCAAATTGGGATTTACAAAAGAGTGTGGGCATAAACGAGCGTAGTTTGGAATTTAAAATGAGAAGAGGGACAATAGCAGGAAATCAGAGGAAGGTACGGAGAACAGTAAGGAAATCAGAGGAAGGTACGGAGAACAGTAATGACAAAAGTTAATCAACCTCCACAGGAGCCTTTTTGAAGCGCAAAGATCTTCTGACAGGTGGGTACAAGATCTCTTGACCCAGCTCAGTGTGGGCTTCAATCCAATCCTCCCAACCCAGCGCTTCATCCCTGACATAGTGACTCCAAAATGTATCAATCCTGGGGCAAGGCCATATTATAGCCTTGAAAGTGAAACTAATGAAATGAGAGTAGTCTGGTAAAAGAATCAGACAGATTGGAGGGTTGTTGTTTGGAGTATGCAAAAGAGGAAGATAAGTCACAGGCATCTGTTCCGATAATAAAAAGCTATTAAATATCCATGGGCGGGGAACGTCATCCAGTACTTGAGGGTGGCTTGCTGTTCCTTGTCTCTCCATGCAAGAGAATCAACAATGTCCTTTCGGTCGTCCCCTGCTCCCCATACGTTAACCAAAAACTTTTGGTCTGAATAGGCCTTGTTCGACTTGAATTCCTTCTTCATTTCTTCGCGGATTGAGTCCCATTTGTCAGACTTGCGGCCCAAGCTGACCGCAACCGCTCAAACGCCACAGTTCCCATCGCCTTTGACGTTTTTAACGTGTAAGATGTGTGGTATTACTCCTGCTGGCTTGATGCTGTCTTTGTAATCATACTAACAAAAGTTCAAGAGGGAAACAGAGGGGATGAACAATCAGAAAAAGGAGTAAGTACATGGGAAAACAATTGACTCACAAGATCAATATCCACATTCTCGTGTGTACTCAAAGTAAGTGCCTCGCCCAAAGGAGTTTCGTCAGGTTTGTCTGCTTCAGTGATGGGTTTGGGTTTTGGCTTGACTAATTTGATTGGCCTAATTCGTAAGGGTTTGGTAACAGTTGGTAGCTTGGGTTCTTCTTCCAAGTGCTCCTCGTCGGTGAATGTGTTTTCACAAAGGGCTGCAATTCCATCTGAAGCATCATCCTCACTCTCTTCGTCTGTTTCCATGGCCTACGCAAAAATGAATCAGAGGCAGGAAAAATCTGCAGAAGGATATAAGCAATGCACACCTCTGACTCATCCGTGTCATCCTTTTTGGCCGCTTTCTTCCTTGGTTGCCCAGGTTTGCGCTTGGGCCCCTCGTCCAATTTGGCCACCTTCTTTGGGCTGCCTCGTTTCTTCTTCTGCCCCTCGACGTACTCAAATCCAGATGGGTCCCTTTTGGTTGAAGACATCAATTTGTGTTTCCGTTTGGAGCCTTTGGGTCGGCCCTTGAATCGATGATTCTTGTCAAACTTGGGTTCCTCAAGTGGAATGGTTGCATGTGTTCCGTCAAGCAGTTTGTGAATTTTGCCTAGCATGAAGTGTTGTTTGCCAGGTTGAAGGGATTGGAATTTTTCAAAGGCCTCGCTGAGGAACGCGTCTTCATGGCTCTTCTGCTGTGTCTCTGTGGCGTCTTGGTTTTCACTGAGTTCCACCTGTCAAATTATTGTGAACAAAATAAGTCAGAAACCTTGGGCAAACTTAGTTTGCGTCCTCTTGATGATAAACAAATGAGGTACTAACATCTAGATCCGTTTTGACGTGCCACTGAGCATGGAAATCATCAGAAGTGAACTTGGTCCCCTCGATTTTGGCGTTGTGGACTTGATGGATGCATGGAATACCCATGTGAGCCGAGTAGTTACCAGTGCATGTGGTTTTCGGTGCCTTGGCCATGTGAGACACATGGAAAATCTTCAAGGCAAAGTGCGAGATGATACCGTTAAGATTGGCAATCGAAGGAGGCAGGCCGGTCAGTCTTTTGTAATGGTGTTGCACAGATTCAATGTATCTTTCATGGAGCTGGCTCTCAATGGCCCAGTGAATTTGCTTGACAACAGCCGCAAAGGAGCCTGTTGATGTGTTGATGAATTTCTTGATGTACGTGTGCAGACTTTCAACTCTGGAGGTGATGTGATTTTCAAAGTGCGGGAGGCGATCAATTAAGTACGCGACAAAGTGCTCCTTCAGAGGAAGGACTACCGTGATCAAGTAGGCGGCCGTGTCTGGAGTCCACAATTTGGAGAGCTTGGCGTAATTCTCCTCGCACTCCTTCAAAGTAGGCAACAGCCTCAATTGCTTCCATGCTGATTCAAATGCTTCCCATTTTTCTTGGCTGCTGAAATGCTTCCGGCAATTTTTTTCAATGCTCTTGACAACGGTGAAACGATGCGATGCGATGCGATAAATAGCCATGTATTGGTATCGCATCGAAAAAGTGATGCATTGCATCAGTATCGTATCGGAAAGCGATGCAAACCAATGCCACCAAATTATGGTGCATCACATCGCATCGCTTTGCCAATGCGATACTGATACACTGTATCAAAGAATCCGATGCAAGCGATGCGATGCGGGGCCCCGCATCGCTCTTGCGATGCGATGCAATAAAGGCCCGATACGATGCGATACCTATGCATGCATCGCATCAGTTTCATTGTTGCTCTTGAATATGTGCCAAGAGCAAAGGATCCAAGCAGCATTTGGGTAGACTTTCTTAATTGCATTTATGACCGCTTGTTCATGGTCGGTGACGATGACTGAGGGTGATGCTTTATCCATTGCCAGATGGAGCTGCTCCAGGGACCACATATAATTGGGTTCCTTTTCAGCGGAGAGGAAACAGCAAGCCACGGTGAACAACCGATTGCATGAATTCATTCCAACAATATGAAGCAGGGGCATGCGGTATTTGTTGGTTTTGTATGTGCAATCCAGGAGGATTGTTGTTGGAAATCTTTTCGCCAATTCGAGCGAACGGGGGTGAGCAAAAAAGAATGAGGTCATGTGACCTTGAACACTATCCATCATGAAGTAGAATCCGTGTTGTCGGATTTGATGGACAAGTGCTTCAAACAGTGTGCGTCCATTGAGCTCCTCATTGGGCATCTTCCCTTGGTGATTGTAAATCGTGTTCAGCGTGGCGTGCAAGGGTTCGTTTGCGTCTTGAACTAATGCCGACTTAATCTTGAGGGGAGCGACACCGGCGTGGGTTAATTCTGTGACCCTTGCTCTTTGGGAGTCAGTCAATCATCTATGGATTGGATGAATGTATGGATCGTCCGAAGCAGGGTGGTTGTGATGCGCAGTCTTGATCTTGATCCTATAGCGTCCCTCCCTCTTGTAGAAGTTGCCCAAAATTTCGAAGGGACAGCCGATCTTTTTCAATTTGCCCAATTTGTTGGGGCCCGGTTCACCTGGTTGCCCAGATAGGTCGCATTTATAAGTTGCTCGGTCTTCCCCATTGAAAGCTGTTGTGTTTGCCTTGACAATAGAATAACCATGCTCCAAGGCCCACCTTTGAGCAGCGTCATGTACCTCAGATCTAGTTGCATAAGATAGCTCGGGAGGTGGCGCAAGGTAATGACGACCGGCAGACGGAGCGGTCGACGGAGAAGCTGTAGGCGCAGTTTCCACAGGCGAGGTGACATCGTCTGGAGATGTACTGAGGGTGGTGTTCATGTGAGATTCAGATCTCTCCTCAGATGTTGCTGCCAAAAGAAGGAGGGGGTTGATGTGGCTTTGACTTTCAGACATGTTATTGAGGTGTTTGTTGAAGTTGAGTGATGATTTAAAAAAGACAAAGGGTTCAACAAGGAAAATGGAGAATGTAGCCGTCAAAAGATTCAAGAAAGAATTTTTTTGATGGTTTTCAAGAAGAAATTGGTTGAGAACCGGCTGAGTTAATCGGATAGGTAGTTTGAGTCCTACTAGTGATTGAGCAACGAATAACCAAGGACGGGAGACCGGTCGGAAAATAAAGAGACAGTGGCGGTCAAGAGGATCAAGAAAGAAGATGATTGATGGTTTTCTTGAAGAAATTGGTCAAGAAACGGCTGAGTTATTCTGAGTTGGGGTTTGAGTCCTACTAGCGATCAAGCAATGATTTAAAAAAAAACAGGAGGTCCAGCGGCAAAAACGGAGACTGTGGCGGTGAAGACGATCAAGAAAGAAGATGATTGATGATTTGCTTGAAGAATTCGGTAGAGGAATGGCTGAGTTATTCAGAGTTGGGGTTTGAGTCCTACTAGTGTTCCAGCGGTGATTTACAGTGGGGGACACCATATTACTGAAACATCCCACCAGCAAAAGTTGAGTTTACCATGCCAGCTGAATGTTTGTCTGCCATATGTGGTATTTAACCCCAAAAGTGTCATTTTTGGGCTTATTGGAGTGTGTACTTTCCATTTCTTATTTGGCTTTGCAATCAGACCAATGGTTCTATTTTTTCACATTTTGAACTCCATCATTTCGGACACATGTCATTGAAAATGGCTTTCAAGTCCATAAGGATGTAGTTGGTACCTAAACATGGACTTGTAGATAGCCTGAAGCTCAAGTGAATATATTTATGTGTGTAAACACCTCATATATGCCTATGCCAATGTCAGTCTCTGTGATAATCCCCTCAGGAAGACTTTTGGGCAAGTTGGGTGGGTCTGAGACCTGAGATTAAACTGGAATTCATACTGTATGTGGGTTTTCTGGGCAGATTGGCCTAGAAAATCACACTTTTTTGCCATCCAGAGGGGTGATTTTTTGGGTTTTTCTTCCTCAACATTTCGGAAACTGTAAAATTTGTTACAGTAATATGGTGTCCCCCACTGTAAACAAAACGAGAGGTCCAGCGGCAAAAACGGAGACGTTGGCGGTGAAGAGAATCAAGAAAGAAGATTATTAGTGCTTTGAATGAATAAATTGGTTGAGAAACGGCTGAGGTATTTAGAGTTGAAGTTTCAAACCTACTAGTGTTCCAGCGATGATTTAAAAAAAAACAGAGGTCCAGTGGCAAAAACGGAGACGGTGGCGGTCAAGAGGATCAAGAAAGAAGATGATTGATGGTTTTCTTGAAGAAATTGGTTGAGAATTGAAAGAGTTAGGCCCCAATTATAAACACCTTTTCAAAATATATTTGAAATAATTTGAAAAGTGTTGCAACTTTGTTTTGATTTTTTTTCCTTTTCTTTTTCATTTCAAAACCGAGCTCAAAACCATTCAAACCTCCTCCAGAGGTGGTTTGAATCTCAAAAACATCATCTTGAGAAACAATACCGATGTTTGTGTCTGTACATCCCTGTATAATTGAAATTCCTACCCAGATTCTGTCTGTACATCCATGTGTGATTGAAATTCATACCAAGATTGGCAGATGCTTATCCGGCCCGGAACAGACATCCCACACTTTGCAATGCAACATGGTGCTGGGGCCCTACATCCATCAATCCAACCATGGTTAGCAGGGGCCAAATCAGAGATGGTAGACCCTGCACTTACCTGGGGGCCTTGGGCCATGCCACACCAGCTTTACTTGATAGCTTACCCTGCACAATGACACATCCAGGCCTAACAATGCTACTGCTTTATAATTGCACATTGTATTCCAGTATATTTTGAAATAATATTCAAACTTCTTTCTGATTTCTTTTTCATTTCTTTTCCATTTTCAAATGGTTTTCAAATAGAAAAACCAAAAATTCAAAAGATTAGTTTATAATTGGGGCCTTATTCAGGGTTGAAGTTTGAGTCAATTTTGAGTTCCAGTGATGATTTAAAAAAACCGAGAGGTCCAGCGGCAAAAACGGAGACGGTGGCGGTCAAGAGGATCAAGAAAGAAGATGATTGATGGTTTTCTTGAAGAAATTGGTTGAGAATTGAAAGAGTTATTCAGGGTTGAAGTTTGAGGCCTAACAATGAATTTAAAAAAAAAGAAGAGATGGATCAGCAAAATTTAAGACCATGGCGCTGAAGAGGAAGAAGAAAGGATACTTTTGGTATTTTTTTTGTGAATTTTGGTTGAGGAATGGCCAAGTTATGATTTTTTGAAGTTTAGAGTGTACCTGCAAGTTGGGAGTGAACCGGTGGTGAATCGAAAAAATCCGAGTCCATGGCGTCAAAGAGGAGAAAAAAAGAATGATTTTGGTATTTTTTTTGTCGATTTTGGTTGAGTTTTGACCGAGTTGTGGTGTGTTGAAGGTTTAGAGGGGGGGTGAAGTCCTTTTTTGATTGTGGTGAGTGGTTTTCTTGTTTGGTGCCTGCAGGAAAATTTTCAAAGTTCATGCAGGCACTTGTGGTACACGCGCAGCCCCTGAGGCAAAATTATGCATATTTTATGCATAATTAATAAAACCGCGTGTGCTCAAAACCGCGTGTAAATGTGGATTTACCGCGTTTTTTTATTAACGCCCAAAATTAAAAATGTATCTTGAATACTGCATTGGACATGTTTCCTTAAATAATTCTTACACGTCAACTATCCTTATTTTTTGGAATTTCAAATTCATTTCCTACACTTTGAAAGGTTTTCAAATTGATGGCTGTGTCCATTTTTCATTAAAATACAATTTGTATACGGTACAAATTATGCAAGAAACAGTGTACTCTCACATATTAAGATTGAAGCTTTGAGTTTTATGAGAATGGGACTTCACCATCAAATTTTACACATTTTTAAATGTAGGAAATAAATTTAAAATTTCAAAAAATGCTCAAAGTTAAGCCGGTAAAACCCATTTAACAAAACATTAAAAAAAACCTGTCCAACGCAGTATTCAATAACAATCTTTGATTTATATGTAAAATGATTATTACCATAATTTCTTAAATGTATTAAAGTGTAGGAGAGAAATTTAAAATGTCAAAAAAGAATGAAAATTAAGCTGTAAAAATCTAAGTGAAAAAATGGGTATGAATGCATTATAAAAAATGAACTGTTAAAATCTGAACTCAATGACTTGGGAGAGGAGGTTTGAACGGACTCAGAGAACACTTTTGATGGGACAAAAAAGTGGTCAGGACTCAGTTAAGGAGGAGAACCAATGGTTTTTGATTTCTTGTACTACCTAGGTTAAAATAGACTAGGTACAAGAGTTTGAGTTGTGGTTGTGAACCAGATGAATAAAAAAGAAATTGAATAGAAGTAAAAAGAACAATCAAGAGAGAAGAGGAGGGTACGACAACAAACACCAGGAATGGAGTATCTCCAACCAAGAAGATAAGCAAACATTACTGAGAATAAGCCCTCCTTGATCAGGGTTCTATGACTACAAGTCAGGGGGTCAGATTTCATAACAAAATGATGAGACAGACTATAATGGGAGAGAACTCATAACAGTGAAGGAGTAGATCCAAGTGATCACTAAGATTGAGATTGAGGCAGAAGTAAGAAAAGTAGAAGAAAGGAAGGGAACAGAGAGGAAATTCCAACATGAACCATTCATTTTTTATAAAGTTTGGATGTTACCATTAAATTCTACATGTATTACAACCTAGGAAATAAATTTAAAATTCCAAAAAAAAACATAAAAAATAAGGTGCAAACATTTAATTGAGAAATGAGTGAAAAAAAAATAAAATAAAACTCATTTCTATGAAAAATGGTTTTTACCATTAAATTGTACACTCTTGAAAAAATAGCAAACAATTTTAAAAATTCAAAAAAACTCAAAAAATAAGCGGTAAAAAATTAAATATAAAACCCTGTGTAAACGCGGAAACCGCGTGCGCTGTGCCACAGCAAAACTGTGTGTAAACACGGAAAAAGAAAGAAAAGAAAAGAAAAGAAAAGAAAAGAAAAGAAAAGAAAAGAAAAGAAAAGAAAAGAAAAGAAAAGAAAAGAAAAGAAAAGAAAAGAAAAGAAAAGAAAAGAAAAGAAAGGAAAAAAAAGAGTTTCTTGAAATCTCACTGATAAATTCAGATATTATTATTGTATTGTATTGACCACACCAATACATTCATGATGAATAAAGTTTATTTTATTGGCTGCCAAATGCATGTGCCCATGAATACAAATTATTTGTCCAGGGGCCCAATACTCACTACAAACAATACCAATTTTGCCCCAGGAAAAAATGGCAATTTGGTTGGTGGAAAATAGGTCACTTTCCTGAGCATTTTTTACAAAATGACTCAGGAGTCAAAATTAAGCTAAAATGAGCTATATTGGCCAAAAAATAAAAAGGCCTCAAATGAGCTAAAAATTAATTTTGGAAAGTTTGGGGCATTTTTATTTTTGGGCTAAAATAGCTCATTTGAGCCTGATTTTTACTCCTAAGGCATTTTGTAAAAAAATCCTCAGGAAATTGAACAACTTTCCACCACTCAAATTGCCATTTTTTCCTGGGGCGAAACTGGTATTGTTTGTAGTGGTACTATACTTAGCCCAAATATTGGGTGGTATTCATAGGCAATACCACCCAATACCAATACCCAGCTAATATTGGTTTGCCTGTTGAGTTGAAGCATACACTAGCTATAAGCATATATTCTAACAATCTAAAACTGACAAATTTTTGATAAAGCACACCCTAAAAATTAGAAAGGGAAATTGAATCTCCATATTCAGATGTAAGCAGTGAATTGATGTTACCATATATTATGATTATCTTCAAATTTTCTTTCTCAATGTTTTTCTCCATTAACACCAACCTAAACCAATTCTACAAGTAACCAATTCTACACTGTTCTATACCTTGGTGTAGGAAATATCTGTTGAACCTCTCTAAGAACTGCTTGAATTGCCAATCTCCACCATTTTTTGGCTGGAGTGCTAGAACTAAGAATTGTGATAAATCATACATTTTGATAGCTCATTTGTACAAATTACAAGCTAAAGATGGCCCCTTGGGACCCGGGTACCCGTTGATACCCAGGTACCGCCTGCCTTTTTCACTCAAAACAGACACTGGGTACCGCACCCGCTGACGCATGACGGGTACTGGCGGTACCTCAGGCGTCCGACCCTATGCCCTGGGACTGGATGGGGAACTGGGTAAATAGGTGGCTATACAGGGGGCTTGAGGAGGTACCTGGAAGTATACCCAGGTACAGGTGTTGTTTGTGGCCAAAAACAAACACCAAGTACTGCACCCGGGTCCTGTTGGCGGGTACTGGAGGCGTGGAGGAGGTACTTGTCAACGGGTCCCGGGCCACAAGGCCATCTTTATTACAAGCCTGGTGTATGCATTTATTATACCAATCTGCAGTTAGCTTGGAACCCAATTGAGTCATGTATTGTTTCAGGTTTTTGAAAAGTCATTGTCAGATCTAGCAACTGTTTTGGATGGGTTCTTAAACCCAGAGGTTGCAGAGTGTCAGGTTTTTAACAGACTTAATAAGTTGATTGTGAAGCCTAGCAGAAAAGAATACTTGGGGGTTAAGCAGAATTTTCTGGTGATGTGCCTGTATACTGGGGTCCATAATTGTTTACAAAACCAATGCTTGAGTTTGAAACCTTTTCCGCATCATGACACCAGTCATACAGAAACAATTCAACCAATTTCAACCTGAATCAACAGGGGAAGGGAGTAAAAACAGTCCATTGTTCCAGGGAAGGATTACCTCTTCCCCTCCAGGTGCCAATATTTTCTGCTATCTTCATCCAGAGGGGTGTTCATCAATGCCTACCCCTTGGTGTTAGGCACAGGAGACTACATACAACAAGGAGGGGCAGAGGGGTCCACCTGCCCCTTCAAGGGGTGGTACAGGCTACATCCAAGAGGTATTCCACCTGGATGTTGAGCATTTACCATAATGGCAGAGAGGATTCCTCTTTTTTATTGAAACTATAAAATCTAAATTTCTGGGATGAATCCCTCCTGCCTGTTGAGAGTGTACAGTCTCAAGGATGGGGATGAATCCCTCCTGCCTTTTGAGAATGTACAGTCTCAAGGATGGGGATGAATCCCTTGTGGCTGTCAAGCATTTAAAACCATTGCCAAGAGGTCCAGCCATCCAGACTTGTATGTAAAGGTCTCAGTGGCTGGAGGAATGCCTCCAAGCTGTAATAAAAGAAGAAATGAGTAAAGAAAAGAAGAAAACAGGGTGTTGCAAAAACCCCCAAAACCAGGTGTACATGCTGAACACCTTAGTACATTTATCAAAGACTATTTCAATTTTTACAACTTGGCCAAGTATTTTTGATGTTATTTGAGCCTCTCCTAGGGAATGTTTTGTGCCAGGAAACATAGTCCCTTTGGGACTTCTGTTTGGGAGGCTTAGAGTTGATAGAATTTCAAGACCTGTATCCAACCATCATGAAAATTCACTCAACTTCAACCCTTATTCTGGGCTCTGTCCTGATAAATGTGAAGATCTGTTTCTGCTGAACATGCATTGTTGGCATAGCAGTATAAGCACCCTGCTTCAACAGCCCATTGTGTTTCATTTTCAGACTCACCAAAAGTAACAAGTTCAAACCCTTGTGTTGATGCACCCCAGTATCACTATGTGCAAAATGTATTTGGCCTATGTGGCCCTTGGATGTGCACTATTAGCCAACATGGTATTTGCTGGCGCCCTCATCTGTGATAAATGTGGCAAAAGAAGTCTCTATTTGACCACAGGCCCCATAAGCACAGAGATATCATGTCAAGAGCTCCGAGTAAAAATACCTCCCTGTGAAGCAAATGCTATTGTAGAACGGTACATATGCAAATCATGTGGCATGGCTGCATGGGTCCCCTGTACTGCATGTAACAATCGAGACAAAGACAAGCAACATTCTGGACTTCCAAGCTATTACATGCCCTTTAAATGTGACAAGTGTGGTACTGGGCGTGGTTTACATTGGACAGGTGTAACCTCATCATATGGCTGTGGCACACTGCAAAAACATTCAGCAATCCAGAATCCCAACTTCTGTAGGGCAAACGTTGCAGTCCGCCAATTCAAATGTGAAGGTGAATCATGTCCCTGGGCGGCATTAGTCCCCATGGGGCCGTGTAATAATAATGACCTTCGAAAACAACACACACCTGAAATATACTATTACATGCCATGATTTAAAGTGGTGACACAACATGCACTTGAAAGGGGAACCAGCATGTGTGGAAAACATGCCCCCCGCAGGAAAATTTTTTTCTTGATTTATTCCAGAATCAAGCTGATGTACATTTTTTCACTGAACCAAACTGATTCCCATCAACTCAACTACTTCCCATATGACCATCTCATTAACTGTCCTCAACCAAAAATGCAACTAGGAAAAGAGCAACTTGAATTATCTCTATAATCATGGAATTGAAAATGAGAAATCCAAACTCAAATATCAACCTGATAAATTATTGATAAAGCACACCCTAAAAAGTGGAAAGGGAAATTGAATCTCCATAATCAGATGTAAGCAGTAAATTGATGTTACTATAATTTATGATTATTTTCAAATTTTCTTCTTTGATGCTTTTCTCCATCAACACAAAAACAAAACAATTCTACTCTGTTCTACACCTTGGTGTAGGAAAAATCTGTTGAATCTCTCTAAGAACTGCTTGAATTGCCATTTTCCACCATTTTTTGGCTGCAGTGCCAGAATTAAGAATCGTGATAAATCATGCATTTTGATAGCTCATTTGTACAAGCTTGGTTTATACCTTCCTTCAAAAGGTTCTACTATAATGTAGTTAGCTTGGAACCCAATTGACCCATCTATCGTTTCAGGTTTTTGAAAAGTCATTGTCAGATCTAGCAGCTGTTTTGGATGAGTTCTTAAACCCAGAGGTGGCAGAGGGTCAGGTTTTTAACAGACTGAATAAGTTGATTGTAAAGCCTTGCTGAAAGGAATACTTGAGGGTTAAGCAGAATTCCCTGGTGATGTGCCTGTATATTGGGGTCCATAATTGTTTACAAACTATGATTGAAAGTTTTTCCACATCAATGACACCGCTTATACAGAAACAATTCTCTTGAAGGAGATCAATCTTGTTCCTAGTAGGGTAAAAGCATCAGGAGTCAGACTGTTGGTGAGTTTCAGTGTTGTGATATAAGGCATTTATTTAAGTTTTGTTTCTGAATAGAATCTCTGGCAGAATCGTAGGAAACAAAGACAGGAAAGAAATTGGTAGGAAGTTACATAACAGTACAAGTTAATAATACAAGTCGATAATTCCAGAAAAGTGACGATCCACGTTTTAAAATAAGCAATACAATCCACAATCTAATCATACAAATGTACATCCTATCCATCAGGAAAATTCAATTATCACTTGACAGCAAGTGACATCTCAGATTACAAAGGGGTCTTTGTAGTTTTGGATGTCACTCATCACCAAGTGATCATGAATTTTTCCTGGTGATATATATCCCGAGGAAAGTTGAAAAGAGAAAAGTTTGAATTTTGCCATAAGTTGTGCCGCTCCACTAAATCGTGAACCGTGCATAAAGATGTTAAACCTGCGAAGGTCTAAACGATGCCCATTGATCACCAAGACCCTTTAATCCACATCAGTTGGATCCAAATTCTTTCTGCGGGGAATACCCATGCAAATCGCCAAACGTCTCCTTGCTTGAGAGGTTTCAGGAGAATATGGACTTGCCCCGATGCTAGTCGGCGTTGTCGGTCTTGCCGAGGTCGGTGTTGGGGAGGTCGGTGTTGAGCAAGATGACGCCGAGCCACTTGATTTTGATGAGAATGATAACATCGGTGTGTTATTCTTACGGCTGGAACCTTTCTTTGGCGTTGAGGGCGGCTGCTTAGGGGTGCGCTTGAAAAAATTACCTATGCTTTGCATACATAGTCCAGTCGTTTTTTTTCGACTTGGAGTCGTAGGCGAATTGGGTGGCGACTCTACCACAGGAGATTGTTTTGTAACAGCTTTCGAACAATCTTCGAATCCTAAAAGGTGATTGTGGTTTAGAGAATTTGGAATCCCCACCATTGAATGAAGGCCAAGAAAGATTTCATCTTAATACGCTGCAAATTGGTCTCGGAAATTTGTGTCGGTAGCTTTGGCCTTAAAAAACATCGACTTACGCTCCTCAGCCAGGATTCGATCCGGGAAGCTTGACTTCCGGTGAGCTTTTTTCCTTTCCTGATCTACCGAATTTAGATTTCCAACGCTCTTGCTATAAAGAGGTCTAATCGGTGGAGGTGGTAGGTAGTATGGGCGAGTTGAAGCAGAGTGTGATGTTGACTGGTGCATCTCACTTTCAACTGGCGTCGACTTGCTATAAAGAGGTCTCATCGGTGGAGGTGGTAGGTAGTATGGCCGAGTTGAAGCAGAGCGTGATGTTGACTGCTGCATGGTACTTTCAACTGGCGTCGATGTTTCCTCAGTCAACTAAATATTTTTTTTTTAAAAAAAAGGCTGTCAGCATGGAAAATAGACCAAGTAGTTTCCTTTAGCAGATTAGTTATGGTGCATAGAATTGAATAGGACAATATCTTTGGAGAGCCGGAAAGCAGTGAAAGAGGTTTTCAAAATTCTGCTTAGTCGGAACAGGTGACTCACCGAATAAAGCCCAGTTGCTGGCTTGATCGTCTCGACCGAGCCAGCATGATTAGAAAAAAAGTAAGCCTCGCGGGCCAAATCTTCCACTTTCCCGCAACAATGAAAGCTCTCATCGGAGTCGTTTGCACCTCGCTTCAAGAATGCGTATTTCCCCATTGAGTATGCAGTTGTGAAATAGATATACTTGATAAATGAGTTGGTCTCGGTGAGATCTAAGAGACTTGCTGTTGTACCTAGCCAGTAATCAAAAGAAATCTTTTTGAGAAAATAGCTTGGCTTTCGATGAAGTCTAAGGCAATTGTTATGGTGCCTGCCTAGTAGGTGGGTGCTGAATGTGAAGAAATGGACAGGGTGGGGAATGGGAAGATTGTCTCTCGAATGGCTGCTTTTTAAATTGTTTCTGGTCCAGGGATCAGGGGTCAAGAAGGGCAACAATGAGGCAAATATGCTCAGTGAGGGCGGAACCGCTGAATAATTTGGTTCCTATTCCGACTCGGAATCCTCCAGACAATGTTAAGTCCGCGCATACAATTATCAAGTGAATAAAATGGAAGCATACCACCATGTATGCGTTGGTGGGCGGAGTCAGTTTTGAGATCAATTAGACGTGATGGCTTTGGCTAAGGGTTGTGTGATTTTTGGCAAATTTACCTCAGCTCCGCTCAGCCGATAATTAAGGAGTGTCTACCGTGATTTGACCGTTGAGCACATGTTGATTGGGCGGAGTCAAGTCGGCTGAGACGCGGAAAGTTGTTGTGGTTAATTTCATACGACTAACAAGTCACACTCTTTTTGAAATTTCCTAGACTCATTGCATTATATTCAAGGGGGTAAATGTCATATTGAAATCGAAATACCTCCGTAGATTGGGTGAGGGCATCTTTACTTAGACTCGCTCGAACGTCTGCCCATAGCCCTTCACCAATTGCCTATGGTCGAAAGACTGTGCGATCACAGTCCCCTTTCGATAGAGATTTTACGACGCTATCTCCTCACATTGTAATGGCACGCGTCACATCTTCTTAGCGAGGCCTCAGTTGAGGGGTTGAGGTCGATGAAGTGAAGTAATTGCTCAAACATAATCCAGCTCACAAAAGTGAAGAACAATTTGGCAAACCAGAGACTCTTATTGCTGCTTGAGCTTTTTTTTGTTCGATGTGAAACGGGATTTCTCTTTCCATTGCTTGTGAACCTGTTTCCATGATGTTTGGTTATTGTCCATTCTTTAACGGTTGGCTCACGAATCGAGAGGGTGTTTTGCAGTCTTCACCTTGCCACTGAAGCTTAACTAGGCCGTCCGCACATCGCACCTCTGTCTTGATTTCTTAGACTAGGATTGCAACTTTAGTCGTCCCAAGGCGACCGGGTGAGGTGAACCTTGTCTGATTGATCTTCACAGATGCCCTGCTACCTCTGGACCTCTCCTAATGTCGAAGGGCAATCTGAACTGCTTTATAAACGCGATAGTTCTTTCATGCGCCGGCTTAAATCTAAAATCATCTGTGCAAGTATAGCTGACATGAGAGGCCCATCGAAGCTTCGAGTCTAGGACACAGCTACAGTCCAGACAGGGTGAACGCCTCTCCAGATTTGCCTGGGCATTGCACCCACTTCCTCTATGAAAAGCGTGCTGGACCGAGCGTAGAGTGGGTACTGCGATGAGTCAAGGTTTTTTCGGGCAAACATATCATAATACTCAGATCGGTACATAGGGCGGCCTGCACCAAAGTCCAAAATCTGTTCAACATAATCGGAAAGTCGACATGCTACTCGGACGAGCCTATAAGCGGCGCAGTAACAGGTGTTGTTTAAGCAATAGCACTGCTAAGATCGCCAAAAAGAAGTCGAAAGTTTGTTGGCTTGAAGTGGGAGCAGGATAGTAACCTCTTCATGTACCAACTTTAATGGTTATAATAGCTGGGTTTGTCAGGTTCTTCTGGATAGATATAACAACCAACCAACCACAGGGTCGTACCAATATTTGAGAATGGCAGAACGAAGCAAGCAGGTCTGGGGATAAATGAGATGCAGGAGGTTTGAGACTCTGTGTTACCCTACTGCAAACCCGCGCCCAACTTGGGCAAATGGGCACTTCACAGGGGTCTGGGGTTTTTGGGATTAGCCTCATGCCCCCTCCCGAACCCCGGGTCACGGCCCTGCTTCACATCATCACATGTGATTGGAGAGAGACAGGCCGATCGGCTCATGTCCTTCTGCCCTTCAACATCAAATATCAACATCATTCCATTCCCACTCGCTGCCCCATTGTTCCTTATTGATCTAGCCGATCGTTCGAATGTTGGAAAACGCTTTCTCCAAATGGGCAGCTGAGCAGTCACCCTTTGACCCCACAGACCCGGCTGGAATTCAACATTGTTTGTACTGCTTCGATTCATTGTATTCCGAGTTAAACAACCAGAACACGCATGGGAAACACGAAGACAATCTGTTGAATAACCTGGAGGAAAGCATAGGTACCGATGAATTGTGAGTCCCCGAATGTGCTCACATACTTATCGCCCTGGTTGAGACCGGGATCTCGAGCGGGAGGTGAGCTAATCATCGATCTCATTTAGCCCTTTGTTCGTGACCTGGAATATCACCTCGAGTGGAACTAGACCCAAGCTCAGAGGCTGTATCGGCAACTTCGCACCCAGTCCGTTGAATGAAGGGTTAAAAGACTACGCGGTAATTAGGTATGTAGGGGCCGTGATTCTTGTACAACTATCACCGGCTGACAAGATACGCCCATGTCTTTCTAGTGCTCTCAAGGATCACCGTTTTTCCCCCATCACGCTTACGGATTTGAAGAGATTAAGCTGTACAGTCTCCCTCTTACACACTTTCGAAGATTGTGCAACATTTACCGATTGGACGATTGGCCAGCACGGGATCTACATCCATATCCCCGACCCCAACCAACCGATCACTAGCAACTCGCCCTCCGAGCCGATCACCCCATCTTCACAAGATGCCGAGAATTCTACCAGCCCCGATGCCTTAGCGAGCGTATTGTCCCAAGTCCAGGCCACGCCATCGACCACTCGAACTTCTAGAAATCGTCCAAGGTCTTGGGCCGGCCATAAACGACGCCAAATGATGAGTGCGACTTACTTGCCCGACGTTGCTGGCGAGCAAGGATGGACCAAGGTCGAGGCGATCGATTCTGCAATAAGAAAAGGTTCGCCAATCTTCAACAATGAAACTCAATCTTCTTTGTACTTAACTTAATCTTTCCAAACAGCTGGATGGAGAGGTCCTATCACACCAGCACTGCGTAGCTCACTGATCATTGAAAGATATCAATCTTCTAAATACACCGCGACTTATCAAGATTGGAAAGAATGGAGAGCGCGGTTAGGTTTGCCACTTTAATCGAATTAGGTCAATGAGCGAGCGGAACAAAAAAAACGAAAGAAACAAAACCTTGCTTGTCCAATTTCCCTCACCATCTGTTTCTTTTATTTGTGACATTTGACGGACGACCTGAGCCCCTGTTGTATTGTTTGTATGTATCAACTCAAATCCCACCAAGATTTTCATTCTTCGGTATGACTTCATGACTACATGTTAAACCGCTCGATTGCGCCAAGAGAAGGTTTCCTTTTGGGCGTTTGCTTAAATGCCCTGCTCTTGGCTTGCTTGATTTATGCAAATCTTTTTGTGTCTTTACCAATTGCCTCATCCACCGCCATGAGACTGGCACATACTCGAAAAGTTTCTTCTTTTTTTGCCATTCCATCTTTATTGTGTAGATTGATCATCATGAGTGATTCGTTCGCAGGTGGTTGGGAGATGTACATACATTGCTCAGAATCAATAGATGAGTTCATACGTATCCATAGCTTATATCAAATTGTGCACTTCTTGATCGACTGGAGGTAGAACCCTACGATTCAATAACGTGATTTCATGTCGGGATCACGCTGGGGTGAGTCGGCTATGTGAAGCATGTAGAGGAACGATCTGATTTTATCCAATCGCTGACGCTCCTCAAGTGTAACCTGCACCCATCTAGAACGCGCCTTTGCCATCCAAAAAGCACTTGAAGCTGACAGAGCTCAGAGTCGCCCAAGTGAGATCGCTCCGATCAACTTCTTTGTTAATGGGTCACATGCTTGACGTCTTAGCAATAGAGTAAATTCTTCAGTTATGAAAGTAAAAAAAGAAACTCATGTGTGAGATAGAAAACAACAGATTGCAAAACACAGCGAGGTTTTTAAGGAGTGGAGGGGTGGAAGGTTGTGATGAAGAACAAGAAAACAGATAGCAAAGTGCAGGGCTGTATGTATGACTACTGATTAGGTTGGTTGGGGAGGGCGTCTCTTGCTCGGTTCATAGCCTGAGTGGTGCCGTCGGTCATGCTTCGTATGGAGTTCTGCAAGGAATTGATGTCTTGCCTCAATTCTGCAATCTGGTTGGCGAGTCGGGTTTTGCTTCGGATCACACTTAACACAACAGAAGCCCTGAGTGTGTCTTCCCTTCGGATGGCAGACTGCTCGAGTTCCACAAGAGCCTCCCTGAGTGCATTCCCGAGTCGGTTTTCGCTTTGGACCATAATCTCCTGGATAGCTGCAAGAATTCCCGGAGGAAGTTGTGCTTCAGGGTCTGCAGGTTGGAGAGAAAGAGAGAAGAAACAGTAAGCTTTTCAAAGCTTACACAAGAAGAGGGGGAGGGGAGGGAGGACTTACTTCGGTGTGCCAAAATTTGATTTGCAGTTTGGTGGGTTGTCAGATATGCCTCACCAGCGGATGCGTCGTTGAGGGGGGTGGTCATTTGAGCTATGTATGTAGGAGTGAAGAGAGGATTGATGAGATAAATAAATCTGTAGAACATCAATCAGTTGAGTTAAACTCTTCTCACCCTGCTGGGCAGTTGTCTGGTGCAGCCTGATTGACTGCTTTGCAAGGCAAAGTGGGGTTGGAGGGACAACTAACTTATCTAAGTCCCTGCCCTCCTTTGGTCGGAGTGGTAAACCACTTGTCGCATTGCGCCGACCGGAGGGAGGGACTTACGTCCGAAGTCCAGCCCGCGGCCTGAGATTATTAGCATCTTTGGCAGGGGATTTTTTGTAGTCAATCTCACACATTTCTCTACGATTGGATTTTGCTCTGGATTTGATTTTCGTGACCGCCTGGCCCGTCTCTACCTTCTTGGCTAGTCCCCGGGTCCACAACCTTTCAGCATGTTAAGCAATCCATCACTCGAAGTCTTTGAGTTCATGGAAGGGTTTGTATGGATTTAGATCAATTTGTAACATCTTCGACACTACTTGGCTGTATTGTGATGGAAGACTGTATTATGCAATTGCAATCAGGTGAACCCATGGCCTCTTATGACATGATAACAGTAACCCATGATTACCTATAACATGTCATAAGTTGATGATGTTCCATATAATCGGGCTTTCAGATTAGAAGTCGGCCAGCCAATCCAAGCAGGACAACCTCTAGATTAATCAATCACCTTCCTTCACTTATCGGGGCTCTTTCAGCAAAAATTACCATGGAAGAAACCATCTCGACGTCTCTAGATAGCTCCAATGCAGCCCCTGATCCATCCCCCAGGGCTCCTCGCGTGCCAATGAACCAGAAACTTGAGACTATATGTGCCCTGATTGAAGAGCTGAACCTCACCCCAAAGTCTTTCATTGTTGCATTCCTTGGGCAGAAGCAAGACACCATGGCCTTCAAGCGACGCTTATGGGGTACCAACCAAGGTTGGGACACAACCAAGCATTTGTTGCTGACTATCAAGCAGCTGGTTAGCACCCATGTAGAAGGGCGTGAGCTCTGGCAAGAGTTCATCTTATCGCAGGTATGCAAGTTTGCCTTACTCAAATTACTGATGGTTTGGTTGACTTTATATATGGATTTAACTATCAGGCAATCGAGATTGTTTCTGCACAAAAACCGGTCAGTGGACTGGCTCCGAAGGGATCATATCACACATCAGCGACTTTGTCAGATGCTTTTTTCACCAGGGAGGAGCGGGAGGATCGTAATGCTGTACTCACGAATCGGATGCCATTTTTGTACCGCTTGCTTTGTGCAAAAATTGGGGGCAACAAGCACCCTTTGGAGAAGTCATTTGTATCGGATCACACACCTGATCCGGTTGAGGACCATTCAGATGATGAAGATGAGGCTGATCCATCAAATGATCTGGTTGACTATGATGGATCAGTCTTGAAGAAGAGCAAAGACCCAGTGGCCCGAAGAACAAACCGAGTCCAGACGGTGAGTCCGATCCTTTGCATTGGACATACACATATTGATATGTATGTTTTGAATTGGTCAACACATCAGATGGCCCGGACGATCTGTGCAATGGTAGCGTTTGGTGGAAACCATCGACACAATGGTTTCCAACTCAGTAATGCTCTGCTCTTTTTGGCAGGAGGAGTGACCGAGCGGGTCAGTGCTTACCTCAACTACGTCGGCATTTGCTCTTCACGAAGAACAGCTCACGCGGCCCTCAAATCTCTGGGCACGGAGGCAAAAGCAAAACTGGAATCTGTATTTGACATGGAAAAACCACCTTTCCTGGCTCCACTGTTATGCTATGACAACTTGGATTTTCAGGAAAAGGTCCATATGAAGTCCATTGGGCATTCAAGCCAAATGTTCCATGGGACCTGGGGATATGTCCACACCATCCCCCCAGGGTTACTATCACGACTGGATCCTTTGCAGCTCACCACAGAAGCTTTAAACTCAGCATTACATCTGGGAAAAGAGCTGGTAATCCGACCCAAGATGTTCACACCCACGGCCGACAGCACAATTCATTTTGAAAAGACTCTGAAGTCCCAGATCACACAGGTGATACTTAAATACTTTGCCACCCCCCTTGATAAACGAGTTAAGCTACAGAGGTCCCCGCCCGAGGTCAATGCAATTGCACCTGAAGATCCAAACATCACGATGCTAAAGCTCATGGTTGCATCAGACAACTCTGCGCTTGGGGCTGGTGAGGTCTTCACCGGTGTGATTCAGCAAAGTGGCCTAACTCGAGCCGACTTCCACTCCCGCTTACAGATTGTTGAGGGCGACCTGGGATCATGCAACATATTTGATAGCCTCCGGAAGCAGAGAACACCAGCGCTTGGGGACCATAATAGTCTGGACAACGTCCTCCCAATTCCTGGTGCGGCACACACACTGTGGAACCTCTCACAAGCGATTTATCTGGGGCATTGGGGGAATGAACGACTTGCACGTGACACTGGCGCTTGGAGGACTCTTCATGCACTTGGTATCCCTACTGAGAAGCCAGTGACAAAGAAGGATTACAACCTCATGCTATCTCATGTTGAAAAGATACATGAAGCTACACTTTTGTATTGTGTGCTGTGAGTCGTTGATATTGCTGGCTTTCACTTCTGAGACAACCAAGCTGAATGATTGTTTGTTTTATTTTCCATTGGAAAAGGCTTGTGGCAAACCGTGCTCATGTGCCTTTGGCAGACAACCCCCTCAAGGTCTCAAGTGAGAGCATACATGACTGGGTGGAGCTCACATATGACCGGTTCTGCACTGGTGAAGCACTGCAGTCTGAGCTTGCATCCAATTATACCGGACACAAAAACTTTCTCCTTCGGATTCGCGATTTTGGAACAATCTTGGAGGCCAATCGGGCCATGAAAGATGGGGACTATGGTCGCCTCATGTTCATGTGGCAACGGTGGTCGGTGATGAGTCAAGGCATCGGTGGGATGCCCCATTACTCAAAGCACTTACCCAAGCTCATAATCTTGCTGCAGCACATATTACCTAAATCTTTATCGGAATTGGTCATGAATACATTGCTTTTGTCACCAACTGGGAAGCCTGGGCACTTTGTTGCCACAGATTTCTACCTTGAGGTTCAAAACTATTGGCTGAAATATTTTTTCAACCACTCAGGGATAGGGACAGACATAGATAGGTTGAAAGACATCTTCTCAAGTAATATCAATCTGGTAAGTGTCTCAGTTGGCCATTATACCTCAGAATCTAATAATTTTCTCTTGCCAGCTCCGATATATGTTACAACTCATCAAACTCAAATCTGGGGCCGAAGTGATCCATCAGTCTCACAAAAACCTCTTAACACTTGAGTCTTTCAACAACTTCAGGCGCATGGCCCAGCGCGAGCGATTAGGGCAAACCCCTCTCGAAGGCAGGGAACCAGAGGAGATTGATGACTTTTACACCTTGGGTATGGTCAAGTTGCACAAAGAATTCAAGCAAGGAGGGTTGGGCCGTTTTCGGCCATACTCTAAAGGGATAATGTCAATGCAAGACACAGATGAAAAAAAATGACACTCATCCAAGATCAGAGGTTGCTAATGAGCTCGAACATCAGGAGATAAGTGACAGCGGCTCTGAACCAGAAACATCCGGTTCTGATGACATATGATCTTGTGAGTATCCTACGGATGGTCCACCTCCCCCGGCCAGTTCATCCCGCATGTGTCCAATAACTTCACCTGATGGTCCATGGATCCTGGTTGATTTGAGAATATGTGGCTGACGCTTTGAATATTTCCTCTGATCAATAACCACATTCCCAGCTGGACGGGCCAGCCTGGATTTACATGTAGGGCTGGATAAAAATGCCTTGTTATTCAATCGGACTGAACCAACCTTGGCTACCCTCCCCGCTCGACCAGCCGACCTATCTTCATCGACTCCAGGGAAAACAACAGGTGGTTGAAACAATTGCTGAACCTGATTGTATTCTTGTCCTTTTGCATTCCCATCATTGATCCCTCCTGCAATGCCGTTATCCATAGTTATGTCGTCTTCTTGTGACATTTCGTCCACACATTTTGAGGTGTCCAAACAAGCTGTCTTCCTTGCCGCAAGGTTTCGAACCAATTGAAGCTGCCGGGCTGCCTTCTTGCTTGCCCAATCTTGCGGTTTGCGTTGTTTTTTCCCTCCTTTGGTCTCAGCCTTATTTGAATTCTCTGCCGCTCTTTGAGCCTTTATCGTGGCCTTCTCTGCCGCCCGTGTCTGTGCTTCACTTTTGAGCCTTGCGAGTTTTTCTTCTTCCCTCCGAGCCTTATCTGCCGCCTTCTCACTAAGTAACCGAGCCTTCTCAACCGCAAGGTCAGCCGCCTTGCTCAAGCGGGCTGCCGCTCGTGCCTCCGCTGCTTGTGACTTTGCCTCCGACTTTTTCAACCGCTTCAGCTCCAAATCTGCATGCCTGCGGGCCGCTGCCACCTCTTGAAGGCCTGATAGCTCGTCAGCCATTGCCTGCCGCACCCGTATGCCTTCAGCCTCAATGAACATATCCAGCTGTGTGATATTGTGGAGGTGGAGTTTGTATAATTCTCCATTCATCCAGGTCATGATAGCCGAGCTGTGGGACTCAATCTGGCCTTTGAATGATTGCCCCCCAATCACCCTCTCCAATAGGGTTTGGTTGAGTAGGTCCCCCGCACAAATTTGATCGATTGTTGCAACAATGGCTCTTGCTTCATCGATTCCAAAAAAGACGGAGGGTAGGAATTCAGGCCTTGGCCCCAAGACATCGACGTAAAAGACCTCAAAGCTGGCCAATAAGTGTTGCACAAGGTCCTCGGCCACATCCTTTGGATAACAACATGTCCCCTTCGGTATGTGACTCCTAAGCTTTCGCTTCATGGTGACTATTCTGGGATCCTTTGGAACCGACCATGGGTCATTGAGAATAGAGTCAAAGTTCCCAACTGTTGTCTGCTGAATCACATTCATGAGGCATTCTGCTTCCTGTGGGGCACAGCATGAGCACTTGCATTTCTGGAAGCCTAGGCGGTCCTCACGGGCCTGCTCCTGGAGGACGTTTGGGTCGTTTGGATCTAGGGGGATATAACCACACCTAAGCCGAAAAATCGTTACATTAGCAATCAAATAAATTACACATCCTCCTCTCAGGCAAAATCCAACACTCACTTGTTATCCAAATTGAGGGCTATCCTCAAACATACACTTGTGACTGCCAAAGCGTCCATCCGCATGTCGTCATTTTGTTCCAAACCCGGAGTAAATTCAGCAACAGAATTCCGGCCATTCTTGCGCGTTGGCTCCATGAACAACAGACCTAACCCCACATTCCCATCTCTCCCACACCTTCCAACCATCTGCCCAATTGCGGAAGGGTCTCCCCGACCCATGTGTACTACACACCGTACACGTTTGAGATTTTGGCCCAGCCCCAAGGCCATCGTTGCCGAAATCACGGGGACCTTGCCACCCCCAAAGTCGTCCATCACACGAGCCTTGTCCTCGTCACTATTAACCGAATGGTATCGGCGTATGAACTGATCGTTTGGGTCGTACTCGTGATGAGGTGTATTCCGTGCTTCGTTGACCACTTTCATAACTTGGAAAGTGCGATTGCGAGTACCTGAGTAGATTATCATGGGTACAGTCTCCCTTGCCGAGGTGACTGTGTACGGCGCAAATAACCTAAGTAGATCGTCACAGGAGCTCAGTGTGGACTTCATCGTCACCCGAATCAGGCGAATCTCGGGCCGTGTCAGCTCGCCATCTATCATTTGGATGTCACTCGGCTGAAGCATCAAGCTGCTAGTAATTGCCGAGACGGCCACGGGTCTGCAGGTCGCGGACAGAAGAAGTACTGGAATATTGTTTGTCGCCATGATCCGGGTGCCCAAGTGTCCATAACCGGGCCGGAAAACTGCTTGATCCTCCAGTCGTGCAAAAATGATTAAAGACTTGCTTTGTTTTGACGCAACAAGACCCCACAAGTAGATCATGTGGGCCTCGTCCACCACGACCAATGATAGGATATCTTGAAATTCATCGCTGAAGAAGAGTTCGGTGAAAAGCGAGCTGTTGAGAAAAACCTCAGGACTCTGTCATTGAGAGTCAGGATCTTGCCGGTATCTTGGAATGGAAATGTAACAATCGCACTTGCCAGGTAAACAAAGCTGAAGACCCCCCTCTTGATCTTTTGGACCGTGTTGTTGTTCAGTGTCATCTTATTCAGATTTATAGCCGTTATGTTGACCAGTTTTTTTCGCAAACCTATAATAATCATATCCAAGGAATAAGTCTCACCAATAGGCCACGAGCATGTAAAAGTCACCTCTACCTGGTCATCACCTAATGAATCCAAGGGATTCAAAACCAGCACAACCACCTTTTTCTCAAACAGCCCAAAGTACATTTCTGATATTCGAGTTTTCCCAAAGCCAGTCCTGACCCGAACGAATGTATGTTTACCTCAAACAAGCGACGAGACCGCTTCAACTTGCAAATCCTTAGGCTGGTCTTTATACAAATCCATCAACCGCGCGGTTATATGTTTGGCCAGCGAATTGTCGGTCATCAACCTGAGCGCCTCGGGGAGCTCATTGGCCTTCGGCGGAAGAGGTGTCACCTGGTGGGGTTCCATGGATTCGGGGCAGCGTTGTTGAACAAACCTGTTGATTTGGGTAAGAACAAGTGCTCTGATCACACCCTCGCTATCTGTATGCCCGATGGTCCAGACGCTGCTGTTATTTGCGCAGATCATGGCTATGTCGCAAGAGTTATTATGTATATATAACTTCTTGTAAATGACTGTATTTCATGCGGAGTCTCCGGTACATAAGATGAGACACCCAGTACAGTGGGCCTCTCAAAATGCCTCCAGAGGGATGCGATTGTCAAAAGCACCAGTTCGCAAGCGAGGACAAACCTCACCACTGCTTGCAGCCAACTCAAATAATCTCCTGGAGAAGCCCCTCCGTTTGGTGGGCGACTACATCCCCAGGTGGTATGAGGCGGACTCGCAAAATCGAAGCAAAAAAATAGCAGAATTTTCCTAATTATCTCAGGGGGAGGAGTCTACTTCGCGCATAAGTCCCTCCTTCGGAGGGTCCCTGCGGGACGGCGTCCCCCCTCCAAATAAAGAGGGACTTAGTTAAGTTAGAGGGACAAGTGCTGCTGGTAGGGGGAGGGGACCAAGGGCAGGTATAAATGGAAGGGGAGCCTCAGCCATTGTGAAGAGAAGCTGTGTATGTATCTGGGATGTGACTGATGGGAGGTGCTGGGAGAGGAATGTGGGTTGGATTTGTCCCCCATTGGTCTCTGTATTTATAATATACAGAAGCAAGTGTGAGGGGTGTTTGAGGGCATCCAAGCCTGACCGTTCTGCCACCACCATGAGTCCAACCACGGCATTCCTACTCTGTCCATAATAGCAGCTTCGTATAGCTCATGTCTATTAGTTCTTCTTTGTGGCAATAGGAACAAAAAAAAAACCTCTAAGAATTTTAATAGAAGAATTTTTACTTCTTGAATGCTCGATGCAGGAATCTAGTGGCTTTATGTCCTGTGTCAAAACTTTGCTAAGGAAAAAAACTCAGGCAGACATGGCCAACTTGTTGTGAACTCTTCCCCTGCGATCCCGATCATAATCACTTTTGATCGCTTTGGCATGGCATGCTCGACCGCGAGCATATGGAATTGCGATCTGGTATGGTCAGATGAGAAGAAAGACCATCCATAATAGCCACTCCAATGATGTTTCGGTCTGGCGCATCAATATGTGTACATAGCAGGGGAAATAGTCTTGAATGAGGTTGGGGTCATGAAGTTGAATTTTGTTTAGGATTTCAAGTGTGGTTGCTTGGACTTGAGTGAGACTCCCTTGGACAAGACGTCGGGAGAGGCGGACAGATGAGAGATGGCTATGGACGAATCGATGTTGAAGCGATGGGAGGTGATGTGATGCCCAACGACAGAGTCAGCGCAGATACACCACGGGGCGGGTTTTTAGAAAACCTGTACATCCAATGGATGTTTTCTGAGCAAGAGCGTCCTTTGGACGCTATGAAAGCATCCAAGGGATGCTCCAGTGCCCCAAGCATCACTTGGATGCTTTGGAAACCATCCAAGTGATGCCTGGTGGTCAAGACCATCCTCTGGATGGTAAAAAATAACCATCCATTGGACACTGTCAATCAAGAGTGTCCAATGGACACTTTTGAAAGTGCCTAATTTTCACTTGACAGGTGGGGTGGTTGATGGTTGAAAAAACAGGCTAAAATGCAGTTGATTGTCAAAAATTCATTCCAAAATGCACATGACTTGGGGGGGTCAAAAGTCTAAATTAAGCCAGAAAATTAACTTTGCATAAAAATTTGAAGTTATCTGCCATTTAGGTGGCGAATCCATAAATCTGATATAGTCGACTTGGCAAGGACTGTCACTACGGACAAATAGTTGTCGCTGCGGCCCGCAGCGTCACCCAGACGTTTCGAGTCAAACCAAATCCTCACGCTACGTCAGCAGCAGAGACAACTCAACCCATGAAACGACACACCACACTACATTCCTTTACAACGCCAAAAAAAAGTAACCTGGGGCCTGGATTCCCCAACCCTGCCCATCTTCCTGGAGGGCAAATATCAGATATCTTGATATTATACACATACCAGAGTACATGTATACATCACACCTCATCGGGTGTCATCGCCTGATTTGCCACTATGTAAGGCCGGCCGGTCAGCGAACCTACCTGACGGCTCACCCACCGGCCAACATTTGTTACACCTCTTACACCTCACCTGCCAACAGCAACAGTACAGGAGTTACTACTTATTGACCAACCAACACCAACATCACTCTTCACCAGCCGGCCTGTTGACCACCCTCGTCCATCAGGCTTATCAGCTGCGATCAAGCTCTGACAATAAGCGATTGAGGCGGGCAAGGCGGAGGAGTTCAGGGTGATCGTGATCGAGAAGGCGGCGGAGGTGGGCTCGAACATCCTATCAGGGGCGGTGATCATGACCCGGGCGTTGGGCGAACTGTGGCCGGAGTGGAGAGAGGACGGGAGTGCGCCGATAGTGATGAAGGCCAGCTCAAAATCGATGAAGTTCCTGACCGCCCGCTTGGCCTTCTATCCCCCGCAGATGAACAATAAGGGCAACTACATTGCCTCCCTCAGTAAGGTCCGTTGGTGGCTGGCCAAACAAGCCGAGGCCCTCGGCGTCGAGATCTACTCGGGCTTTGCCGGTGCTAAACTGCTCCACTCGGACGATGGCAAGGCCGTCCAAGGGGTCATCACCAACGATATCAGCCTTGATCGCTCCAGGAAACCCAAAGACCCGGAATGGAGTTCCATGCTAACAGGATCTTGTTGGCCGAGGGCTGCCATGGTTCGTTATCCAAGATGGCTATCGAACGCTTCAAGTTAAGAGACGGCAAAGACCCCCAGACCTACGAGAGACGGCAAAGACCCCCAGACCTACGGTCTCAGGATCAAGGAAGTCTGGAGAGTTAAGGACGATGTCTACGAGCCGGGTAAGGTCCTCCATACTCTTGGCTGGCTACTTCAGCGGGACACTTATGGGGGCAGTTGGATATACCATCTCGAGGATAACATGGTCTGGTTGTTGGTCTGGATTATCCAAACCCATACCTGTCTCCTTATCAGGAATTTCAAGTGAGTGTGGCATTGAAAATCTACAAGTTTTTATTTTATCTTTCTTCCTCTTCCTCTCCATCATCTCCTCAAACCCAAGAACTGATTCAAGTCAGTTACCAATTCGGCCAACACTTCGGCCTCGCCTTCCAATCATCCACCTCCATTTTTTTTCCTCAAAACAAAAAAAAAATCCCTCCATCTTGAACTGATTTCTGGGCCATCTCCACATTCAGATTGTTGATGATATTTTGGACTATACAAGCTTGGAGGACGAGCTAGGGAAGACGGGAAACGGGTCAGATCTCAAGGCCGGACTGATCACCGGACTGGGACTATTTGCATGGAAGCAATTCAACTGGACTTTTGGCGAGCTGGTGGTCCGCAAGTTCTGTAATCCTGGCAACCTTGATCTCGTTGAGTCCTTTCTCTCTCCCTCCCCTTCCCTAACCCTCCCCAGCAAAGATTTTCTTCTTAATCATTCACCGGCTTTGTTTTTGTTGGTAGGCGAAAGAAATGGTCCATAAGTCCGATGCTATTCATAGCTCTTATCAGCTCGCTTCTCATCACATCCACCTCTACCTTTCTCAACTCAACTCGTTCAATGACTCCAAAGCCAAGGCTGGCTTAGAATGACTCTGTGATCTTGTCCTCAATCGTAATCATTAAAATATCCTCTACTCCCTCTTTTCTGTTTTTTTTGTGGATTTCTTGAGTTTTTTTTGTTTGGTGACAAAAAACACTGTTTATAGAGTGGTTATGTTTTGAGTTAGATTCTTCTTTCTACTACCTACGATCTGTTAGATTTCCAAGGGGGGGGGGTTCTTTTTTTGTTTAATGTATAAGGCTCTTCGGTTCCGATTCCTATAATCTCCCCCCCCCCAAGAAAAAGCAGAAGAACCAGAAACAAATTGGAAGTGGGGAGAGAGAGAGAGAGAGAGAGACCAACGCAGTAGTCAGTAGTCAACTGCTCTTTGACAGGCCCAGCCAGACCGAAGGCTGACTGAGGATCGGGACATCAGGAGAAGAGTGAGTATATCCCGAATCCGGAGTGAGAAGGAGGGGGGGACGGCTAGGAGGACGAGGAGAGAGCATTGAACAGATCCATGGAGAAGATATCGTTAGAGGGGTCATGACTAGAGGGCGGGCCGTTAGCAGAGAATCTGGGGGAGTTATTGGAGGGCGAGTCGGCAATATAGATGGCAGAGGAAGGGTTGAGGGTGGAGCCGGAGGAGGTCGAGCCGGCGGAGGGTTTTTGGTTGGCCAGGAACCGGAACTTGAATTGACGGCTCTGGCGATGATCACACAGTGCTTGCTGTCGCTGCGAGGGGGCAAGTGTCGTTGCAGATCCAACTTTGATTTGGTCGCGCGACATCTGAATCTGCTGGGAAACGTCAGGTGACGCTGCGGGCCGCAGCGACAACTAATTGTCCGTAGTGTGTGGTATTGCATCACAATGATGCAAGTAGGTTGTGGGTTCAAGCCCAGTATGGATGTGATTTTTTTGAGGTTTGCCCTGCCAGAAAACCACCCAATGGATGGTTTATTCCAAAACGTCCATTTCAAGGTTTTGAGAGTGCCATCCATAGGATGGTCCTTGCAGAGCCATGGAAAACTGGTCGGACAACCATCCAGCGCACCGACCAAAAGTTGTCCGGAACGACCCGTGGTGTAAGTAGTGGTGTCTTCGCTGGATCGACTTGATACTTGAATCTAAACCACATCGAAACCTTCGTTCGCGATATATGGCACCACTCAAGACTGCCAAGGAGATTCTCGTCCAATTCATCCTCACTCAACTCCGATCTCATCCTACTCGAGTGACGGAGGCTGGGGTCCACAAGCCGATGATCATCGGCTTACAAGGACCTCAAGGAATCGGTACGTGTTACAGGGAGACTGATTGGAGATTGGATTTTGAGGGATACATAATAGGAACTGAAGAAACGAGCTGCCCAGGCAGGGAAGACGTGGCTTTCAAGAGAAGTCAAAGAAGAATTGAACAAAGTTCATCACATCAACACCATTGCTCTCTCGCTCGATGACTTGTATCTCCCCCGCCGGGCACAAGAGAAGCTAGAAGAAGAGGACGCTGGGGGTCGGAACAGACTGCTCCAAGGACGCGGCTTACCAGGGACACACGATCTCGACCTGGCCGTCCGAGTCTTCGACTCGCTTTCCAAAATCAACGAGACCAAGGAGATCTTCTTGCCGGTCTACGACAAATCGGCACTCCATGGTCTAGGCGATCGGATCGGATTCAACACCTTATCGGTCCCGTCCGACCATGTCCTCCAACTGGTCATCTTCGAGGGCTGGATGCTCGGCTTTGTTCCTCTCGATCCGCTCCAGCTGAGGCGCACCTACGATCATTTGCTCCAACTCAATCCGACTCCTTCTTCCAACACCTTCATCACCAAGTTTTCCATCGACGAGTTGTTGAAAATCAATCTCAACTTATCTGCGTATGTTCAACTACTCTGGCCTCGGATCGATGTTCTCATCAACTTGGTTCCTCAGGATCTGAATTTCATTTGGCGGTGGAGAATCCAAGTAAATTCACTTGAGTCCATCTGCGCTTCTTCCTCATCACATTCATCAGTTACTTCCACTGATATGTATTTTTGAATTTATACTTTCAGCAAGAGAATGAAATGAAGGCTAAGAACGGTGGGATCGGTATGTCAGAGGAAGAAGTTAAAAATTTCATTTTCAGGTATGCACATCTTACTCTGGATTGATCAAATCTCAAATTTTGAATCTGCTCGTCATAAAGCTCTCTCGACCTGATCTCTTACTCTCCGGGTCTACTTCTTTTGCTCACTGGCGCCCCCTTTTCCCCAATCAACAACATAAAAACTAACACTTGTTTCTTTTTTTTTAAAAAAAATATGTTTGAACAGATATATGCCATGCTATGAGTTATATGGGCAGTCTGTAGATGATCCTGATGGCAAAGGAATGATCCCAGCATCTTTGAAGGTAGTGATGGACGAAGAAAGAAAAGTAGTAGACGTGTTGTATCCCAAAGAGAGCACTGCAGGTTGGTTACTCTCCTTCACTTCTCGCCATGATCGATCAGTTTTTTCCTTTTTTTTTGACGAAGTGCTTTTGATGTGGTTGTAGATACCGAAATCCAGTAAATGGAATCATATTCGTCCGTAATCAAGTCTTTATTTATAGATGTCAAGGAAAATGATTCATCGTGAATGCATGTTCAAGTACTAAAGATTGTTTGATATACTGTAGCCCCATTTTTTGCTGAATCAAGTCCAGTTGATGAGATTTTTGCCAGCCTTTGAAATTTAAGGTTTCAGTTGTTGAGGATGGGACAGAAAGTGGAGTCCTTCCTGTTACAATTGAGAGTGCTTTTTCGACCTCTCTAAGTCCAAAATTTACAACACAATCAAGATTACAACCAGCTTACACAAGAGCCATTGCAAGAAGGCTGCTGAAGAAGCATTTTTTGGACCAAAAATTTAGATCCAGGGGGGATAAATTGACCTCTGCGAGGGCTGTAGATTGTGATGGGAAGTCATCCAATACATGCTTCTTCAAATCCTTCTGGTTAAACAACTGGCAAAAGAGACATATTGATACTCTTCTGCCCACCAATCAAATATGTGACTCAAGAGAGAGGTGTACAAAAGCATGAGTTCTTTATCAGCTGGGAAGCAGAAGGGACAACAGACCAGAGGTCATCATCATCCCCATCCTTACACATGGGCTTATGTTTTGGACCAGTTGATCAAAGGCACTGTGGTGCTCACTACCAATCACCACAAAACTTCCAACAGATTTGATTTTTTAAATTGTCTAGTTGAGTGATTATACAGGGCTCTCCTCAGCCTTGGAAAACTGCCAATTTTGCTGGACCAACATTTGGAGATGAGATTGCTGTTTTTCTATGAGTGTTCAAAATTTGCATTGGCATGTGTTTGAATGATCATCATGAGTCATATTTGTACTGGACAACTTCCCGTGACTATATGCAGGTCTCCCAGAAGCAATTTAGAAGCCTCAAAAGCTAGATTTCCCAGCAAAAATCTGGACTTTTTGGGTCTAGATCAACATCTGTGAGGGTCCCAGATCCAACAGGAAGTTATCCACTGTAGATTTATTCCATTTGCTTTCTATTCAAAATTCCAGAAAAAAAACTCTGAGATTGAGGGTGATGTCCAATTTCTTTAGAAATATGATAACAGAATTTATGAATCTAAAGATAGTGTTAAAGCACCGTGTCAGGAGGCTAATTGGCATGAAATTGATAGAATCCAGAATTCCATTCCAACTTAAATCTACTATTCCAATTCCTTCCTTTCTTTCCAATTTTTTGTCTCAGTGTTTTAACCAAGTATCAACACAATCTTAGCTTGATTTATCTACAGAAATCAAAGCTGTAGTGATAAACCAAAGCCAGCCTTTTCTAAGTGTTTCCTAACTCAAATCTGGTTCTGGATGAGCTTGGATTCCCTCATCCAATTTTAAAGATTGTGGATTTGAGTGTTACAGCTTTGTGCACATTTTTTCATGAGTTACAATGACATTCATGACCTCCAGATGATTGCTAACTTATTGATGCAGCACTTGCTGAAAAGGCTTCAGACACCTCACCTGCATACTGGGCAGTTGTGTGCAGTCAGTGTGCAGCAAGACACTAGAGTTGTGCATAAGCTGCGTTGCTTCACGCTGACTCTTTCCTTCTAAGACTCACAACCTCTCTCCTCTGATGGGAGTCATGAAGACTCCAAGTGGGGTGCTGTTGGGTGTGCATCGGTTTTAAGGTTTTCTGCATGAATGGATGCTCACATAAGCCAGTTCCTCTAGTGCCAAGTCTCTTCATGTGAAACTCAGATTGCTGTGCTCGGGAAACTTTAATAAACACTGATCGTCAGCTGGTCAACAAACTCCCGAGTCTCTGCTTCATCCAAAGCTGAACGGTCAACAAGCTGCTCACTACCAAGGACAAGAAAACCAACAAACATCCTGATAATGTCATCCTCAAACGAACCATCAGATCAGACTCAACAAACCAAGTATCTGCATCACCTCAAATGGTCAGTAGATCTAGCATACACACACACAATCTCAAGAGCTCACGGCCCACTCCTACGACGAAACCAGGGAAAGCTCAGTGCCCGAACGAGTATCGATTAAAGGTTCCTTCGATCAATGGAAATCGTAAGTAAACATCCTCCAGATATCGGAAATTGCAATCTGGTCGACTCCCTGCTATTGAAGTTGTGCAAGAAAACTTGAAGGGGAAAAAAATATCTTCGATTGCCTTGATGTCAGGACTGACTGTGTGATCGTTCCTCAAAGGTCATTGGAATTGCAGAAAAAAACATCTGGTAAATTCTCCGCTCCAATCGAACTCGAGTTTGGGTCCAAAGTCTCTTACAAGGTCAGCAACCCACGTAATCTCACTCCCTGACATCATCCTTCAATCATTCCGCATACACCAAAAGGACGGACATGGACCCTTATCGACGCAATATATCACTAGAACCCCAGATCAGAAGACCCAAAAACAGAATCAAATCCCTCACTCGAATCCCTATCTGTCTTCTGACTGTTATCATTCTCCCCCCTTGTCCCCTGAAATTACGTACAACTCACACCTATACAAACTTGTGATCAATCAATCCACAGTATGTTGTCGATGGAACCTGGCGGCATAACCCCAATGAACCCACTGAAACCGACTCGAGTGGCAACGTCAACAATGTCTTTCAAGGTGCTCACCCATTAATCCCTCTGCTACATGGCTATGAGTTAATACTGAATCTGAGCACATCCTCTCACCCCCCTCAATCTTACCCTTGCACGGGTCAATACACCTGTTTCATCTCCAGTCCCACAACATCCATCATTCTCCATGAACCCTGAGGTTGAATCCGCTCGAACCTTACCCAATCCAGTACAAACTATGTCATCCGCAGCCTTGGCTGAAGAGTCCATTGCGGGGACATCCACCGACGCAAACCTTTCAAAAACTCCCGAACATGACAATGCTGGTGAACACTGTCCCTCCTTATCCCCACATTCATCACCGCTAGCCACCAAGCTCTCATTGCTGCACTCGAACACGTATCTCGTGAGACTAATCCATCACTGAATTACCGTTTTGCTGGTTTTGTTCCTGCAATCGCCCACTGCTCCACAGCCGAATCGCCTGCGCCTCCAGACATGTCCATAGCATTCCCCTCAACATCAACCGATAACCTCCCTGAGTTGACGCAGCGCCCCAAGCCAGCAGTCAACACCAAGCGAACTTTGAGCTTATTTGCCCCTGGTACACGCTTTGGTCGTGCATCCCATCGCACCCAGAGTCTTGCCACCGCCCCTGGCACACCCAAAGAAAAGGCATCCCCCGCCGGAGCCTCCGTTTCAAATGTCGTCTCTGCCATGGCTGGTGTAGCTGCTACTGCCATTCCTGCCGCCATCTTTGCCGTTACCGGAAAGGATATCACTCGTAACTCAAAGGCAGAATCCCCGGCCGCTTCTCCCTCCGGCGCCAACGCTCTATCTACATCCGCTGCTGATGACCCTAGCACAACGTCTCAATCTCCTGCGAACGGATCAGAACAGCCCTCTCAGACTGATCTGACTTCTCAAGCTGCGGATACCACAACCGAAGCGCAACCGCCTGCCGATAAGCCCACAGCGTCCACTCCCGAACCTCTTGCCACCATGCCTGTGAATGATGCTACCGAAAATCCAGAACCCAAGGACAGCAAGCCCTCAGTACCATTAGCCACCCATCAACACCTTGCTTCGTCGACGGCAGAGACCAGCTCAGTCACAGACAAAGCATCTCCCAAATTGGACCAGCCCACAATTTCACCCACCCCCAGCCCCCAAGCAGCGCCACTCGTTACTGAGCCTGCCACTACCCCAGCAGTCTCCGTCCCCGAACCCCAGCTTGACAAGCCTGAACCCAAAACGCCACTTGTCACTGAGTCCACGGTTGCGCCAGCGGTGGCCGTTCCGGAACCCAAGCTCGATAAGCCGGAGCCAAATACACCACTCGCTACTGTGTCCCAGATTTCCCCAGCAGTCTCGGTTCCGGATACCAAGCCCCAAGCCCCTGAACCACAAATTGCCACCCCTTCCAATCTCCCACAAGAGGGAGCCAAATTACAAACCCCTGGCATCGCTCCCAAGGTTCAAACGCCGCCGAGGGTATCATTCTCCGACGAGGAGGCCACAGCAGCCCGGGCCGAGGCCAGCGGCAGCAGTGTCCAGCCCGCACCGGCAGTCAAGATCTCGCCAAAGCCTACGA